GAGTGCGCTGCTGCTGAAGGGGCATTTGAACTCGTAAACGGATGTGGTTCTACCGAGCTGTGCTATGGAAAAGACACGGGTCCTGTTATTATGGAAAAGGAAACAGTCTCGTCTCGTGCTCTTGAGGTGCATATACAGTATATTCAAGCGATTAAATCTTGGACGCAAGCTCAGCTTGTGCACGTGGCACGGCGACCGAGTGCGTCGTCATATGATACTATCAGGGCTAAATCGGGTGGAAAACCGTCGCGATCAGGCGTGCTGGCGTCTCGCACGCCACCAAATGACCTTGGCGCCACACTTATCGACACCAATAGATTGGGCATTCTTCTCAAGCTAGCAGCCGCCAAGATCCTTGCAAAACAAGGCGAAGTACGCAAGTCACATCCTCCAAGACGGTGTCGATACACATGACGTCGCGACGCTTGGCGAGAGAAACGGTCTGCGAGCAGGTTGGTAACGTCTCTCCACACTTCAAAAGGCGTCTTGAAGCTTACTCCTCGCGCCAAAAGTGAGCTCCGAATGGCGTCCCGTAGTTCGCTCACGCCTGGTGGCTCCGCGTACCTCGTTGGCAGCACTACTGCGACAACGATCAAGTCGAAGCACGGCGCCGTCTTTATAGCATCCCGGGCGTACACGCTCGCGGTCTCGGCGATCTCGCTCCTCGTCGTGGCGCTTGTCGCGGGCGACGCTGTCGTCAACAACTGGACCATGCTCAACTACCTCGGCGGCGGGTTCTTCTTCATTACGCCAATCGCAGCGACCAACGGCATTGATCAGCTCAGTGCGCAGTACAGTTTTCCGCGCAATCTTGGCATGCAGAATCTGTCCAAGGTTGGACGCTGGATGGCCAACTACTCGGTGACCAACATGGTGGCCAAGAGCGACCGGATTTACCTCATCAACACGGGCGACATTCCGCTGACCGCCGACTCGGCGCTCTGCCCCATCTTTGCCAAGACGTATGTAGTCGACATGGGCGCGACCAACTTTCGTGTGAGCCTCGCGCTCGCTTCGGACGCTGTGACGCACTTTCGAGGCAATGCGCTCACGCACTTCTTCACGCACGACGCGACCGAGAACCTCGGCAACACGAGTCTCACCAGCAAGCAACTCATCAACCTCAACTACATTCCTGGCCGGATCACCGTCGATAAACGCTTTACGACCGAGTTTACCCTCCTCAACTCGAGTGTACCCCAAACCCGCATCGTGTCCTACTATCGGATCTTCAGTCGGTCGTTCTGCACCGGGTGCGACCCCGTCGCTGAGCTCGGCTACTCGCAGTGCAACATGACCATGGTCTACAACGACAGCGCAAAAACTGTCCAAGTCACGCGCTCCGAGTTTGTGCCAGGGTCCTTTTACAAGCTCGGGTTCATCATGCCCAGTACGGGCCTCGGGCAAGTCGCGCTCGCGGCCAAGCTCATCGCGATCGTCTTTGCAATTTTGTCCTACATTGCGAGCCGCCGGACCGTGCAGTGGCTGGACATCGACCCGACGCGTGGCGACTCACTTCTCTCGCGCCTCCAGCGGGCGATCGTGCCAAAGTGCTTTCCGTACCAAAGCCGCGCGCTGAGTTATAGCATGTTTTGCTATAACTCGGACGTGTTTGTCTTTTTGTACGCGTTTAGCGTGCTCATCGACATTCAAAATTGTCTCTTGTACGTCCGCAACGTCAACTTGTACACGATGTACGCGCCGCAATTTGGCTACGCGTTGCAACTGTTTGCACTGAGTTCGCGGCTTCTCTGGGTCAACTGCGCGATTCTCAAGATGTGCAAGCTCCTCTGGAACCTTCTTGGGACCGCTGCGTTTGCCGGCGACAGCGTCGTTATGGGCTTCTTCAACCTCAGCAGCGTCACGTCGCTCTATGTGAGTGCGATATTTCTCTTCTACGTGCCGCCGTTCATCGAGTACAACAACGCGATCATCGTGAGCGTCACCAACGCCGCCGAGCGCATCGACGGCATTTGCTGCGAAGTCTTTAACGGGTTTTACATGCGCGTTGCGTCCTCGATCATTGCCGGCCTCTTCGCCAACCTTTTCCTTGTGACGTTGCTGGACCACATTGTCCACTTTAAAAAATGGCGCGCGCTCGCCAAGCACTCGCTGGCACGGCAAGCCATTTACAACAGCTCGTCGATTGTCTGCGACTACATTGGCGATATCCGAGACGAGCGGGACGGACCCATCTTCGTGTGCCACGCCCGCCGCCTCAGCACGCTCTACTGGTTCTTCACGAGCCACCTCTCTCTCTTTGGCCTGCCCGAGAAGAAGGGCCTCCGCGCGCGCAAGGCGTCGGCACTCGCCGTGCAAGCCAAGGCGGTCACGTCCGGCTCGACGACACCTTCGGTGCCGACGGCAGTCGTCCTGGACGAAAGCAACGACTTCATGATCGTGCAGGACAGTGACCACAACCTCCGTCTCCTCGATTTTCAGTTGGCTGAGGTCACGAGCCTCGTCTTCAACATCAAGATCCTCAAGAACACCACCGTCACCATCAAGTAGTGCATTGCATGTTCCTAGGCATTAACTGTCCATGTCTTCTTGCGCGTTTCGGATGCTTTGTCTGGTGGTTTGGGCACTATGTTCCGTGCAGTCGCAGCACCTTCGTCTTCGAGCCTTAGTTGCGAAGAGCCGTTGCGTCGGTTGCACTAAAATGGCGGGACCTCTAAATTTAATCCATTTTCAAAACCACACTCGTCGTTCAGAAAAGCCATCGCGCCAAACTCATGACGCGGCGAGGTAGCGGCATGGGCAGTGTCATTGTCAAGGGCGGCATGCGCGGCCTCGCACACCGCGGGTACGGCTACGCCAAGAACATTGCGGGCTTCCTCGTCATCCTCCTCATCCTCATGGACGCGCTTGTCAACAACTGGACACTCGGCAACTACCTCGGGGGCGGCTATTTTTTTCTGACGCCGCTCGGGTCGGTCCAGAACGCGCGGCAGCTCGAGACCAAGTACAGCTACATGCGCGGTTTTTCGATCAAGAACCTCTCCAACATGGGCCAGTGGATGTCGAACTTCACCATCATCAACTTTGTCGAGAAGAGCGACCGACTGTACGCGATCACGGCCGGCGAGTACCCGCTGACACCAACCATGGTGCTCTGCCCCGTCTTCCAAGGCGTCTACGGCAACGTTGACGTTTCGAAAAAAGTGAAATTGGCGCTGGCGGCCGACGCGACGACCTACTACCGCGGCAACATGCTCACGCACGTCTTTACAGACGATGCGAGCGTTGACATGGCGACACCAAACATGCGCAGCGCCGACGTCTTGGCGCGCGGGTACCTTCCCGGGCAGACGACCGTCGACAAGCGCTTCACACGGGACTTTGCCATTGCCAACACGTCGTCCGAGCAGACGCAAATCGTGCCATATTTCCGAATTCTCTCGCGCAACTACTGCACGGGCTGTGACCCGGTCGCGGAGCTCGGGTACTCGACGTGTCAGTTCAAAATGGTCTACGATGACGCGGCCAAGACGCTCACGGTCTCGTCGAGCGCGTTCGTGCCCGGCTCGACGTACAAGCTCGGTTTTACGGTGCTCAACTCGGTCTTTGGTCAAGTCGCCATTGTCATCAAGTTAATCGCAATCTTGTTTGCTGTCGCGGGGTACCTTGCGGGCCGGCGCACGATCCAGTGGCTTGAGGTCGACCCGGCGAAACCCGACTCGATGCTCACCAAAGTGCTGCGCATGGTCGTTCCCAAGTACTTTCCGTATCAGAGCGACGCGCTCAGCTACGACATGTTCATGTACAACTCGGACATATTCGTGCTCTTGTACACGTTCTCGGTGCTCCTCGACGTCCAAAACAGTCTGCAGCACACGCGTAATGTCAACTTGTACAACGCGCTCTCGCCGAGCGCCTTGGTGTCGATCGAGATGTTTTCGCTCTCGCTGCGACTGCTCTGGGGCAACCTCGCGATCCTCAAGCTCTGCAAACTGCTCTGGAACCTCCTCGGCATTGCGTCGTACAATGGGCAGAGCACGACGATGGGCTTTTTCAATTTCTCGAGCGTCACGTACCTCTACCTCTCTGCGATCTTGCTCTTCTTCGTCCCGTCGCTCATCGAGTACAACAACTCGGTGTCGGTCGACATTGCAAATGCCATCGAGCCCATCGACGGCATTTGCGTCGAAGTCATCAACGGCAGCTACCTCCGCGTCGCGCCGTATGTGATTTACGCGCTCGTCCTCAACATCTTTGTGGTCATTTTGGTCGATCACGGCATCAACTACAAGTACTTCAAGATGCTCCGAAAAAACAGCTTGGCGCGCCAAGCGGTTTACAATAGCACGTCGATCATCTGCGATTTTCTCTGGGGCATCGAGACGCGCGCCAACCTCAACGGCGCCGAAGGCGCGATTGTCGTCGTCCGCGCCCGCCGCCTCAGTACGCTCCAGTGGTTCTTCATGTGCCACTTAACGTGCTTTTGTCTTCCGGCCAAAGACCTCTTGATTCGAAAAAAGTCGACGCTGCAGGTCAAGACTACGCTGCGCTCGATGAAGGGCAGCTCGGTGCGGGACGCGTCAATGGCCGAGGCGTCGACAAATGCGACGGCGAACGCCGACGAGAGCACGGAGACCATGTGCCTCCTTGTCCAGGACTGGGACCGGAATATCCACCTCCTCGACCACTCGCTCACCGAGGTGACGAGCCTCGTGTACAACATCAAGGTGCTCAAGAACACGACTGTCACCATTCGATGATTCGTAGTACCTTGCCTTGCATATTCTCCGTGCTCGAATACATGTTTCTTGCTTGATGATCGAATCACCGACCTTCTAGTGACACTGTGATTCAGGGAAACGACCTCTCTTTACGCTACCATCAATCGTCTGCGTGGCCATGGGACTTGACTGGACAAACGTAGTTTGCTGAATATGCGATCCCAGCACTCTACTACCAGGCCTTTTTTGCCCCAATATCAAGCCCGTCGCGCACGGAGCGGACGTGCCCGTCCCCACATTCCTTGCACAGCCTCATGCTTCGTGATCGACCAAGCAAACGAGGTCAACCGACGCACGCCGCTTCCAACCCGCCGTTTTCGCCGAAACTGACGGCGCTTCAAATGCTCGTTGTTGTTGCCAGTGCTGAACGCGATGCCTCACACGGTCTCAGACGTCCGGACGTTCGTCGCTGATCATGGCGGCGTGCGAGGCCTCACGCGCCTCGGGTACGGCTACGTCAAGCGAGCCGCCGGTCTCTTTGTCGTGTTTCTCATCGCGATGGACGCCGTCATCAACAACTGGACGCTCGGCAACTACCTCGGAGGCGGGTACTTCTTCTTGACGCCAATCGGCGCGGTGCAGAACGCGCCGCAGCTCGAGACGCAGTACAGCTACATGCGCGGCCACTCGATCACCAACATGTCCAACATGGGTCAATGGATGGCCAACTACACGATCGTCAACTTTGTGAGCAAGAACGAGCGCGTGTACGCGGTTTCCGCCGGCGAGTTTGACCTAACACCGTCGACGGTCCTCTGTCCCATCTTCCAAGGCGACTACCACGTTGATCTGAGCGTCTCGACCAAGGTCAAGCTCGCCGTCGCTGTCGACTCGACGACCTTTTTCCGGGGCAACGCCTTTACCCACGCGAGCAATGGCGACGGCAACGTACAGGCTGGCGCCAGCAGCGTCGACCTCTTCCGTCGCGGGTACCTTCCGGGGCGAACCACCGTCGACAAACGCTTTACGCACGAGATTGTGCTTGTCGATACGCCGGCGGTTCAAAAGCAAGTGGTCTCGTATTTTCGCATCTACTCGCACAACTACTGCACCGGCTGCGACGCGGTCGCCGAGCTCGGCTACTCGACGTGTGAGCTCTCGATGGTCTACACCGACGCAACCAAGACGCTCACGGTCACCACCAGCGCTTTCGTGCCGGGCTCGACGTACAAGCTCGGCTTTACGATCATCAACTCTGCGATTGCTCTTACGTCCCTCATCATCAAGCTCATCGCGATCTTCGTCGGCTTTGGCGGGTACATTGCGAGCCGCCGGACCGTGCAGTGGTTTGAGGTTGACCCAGCAAAACCCGACTCGTTTTTAGCCAAAGTCATTCGCACCGTTGTGCCCAAGTACTTTCCTTTTCCATCCGAAGCGCTCAGCTACGACATGATGCTCTTCAACTCGGACGTGTTTGTCTACTTGTACACACTCTCGGTGGTTTTGGATTTGCAAAATTGTCTGCAATATGTCCGCGATGTTAGCGTCTACAACTCGCCGGCGCCGCAAGCGCTCGTGTCGATTGAGATCTTTTCGCTTTCGTTCCGCCTGCTTTGGCTCAACCTCGTCATCCTCAAGCTCTGCAAGCTGCTCTGGAACCTTCTCGGCATCGCCTCGTACAACGGCCAAAGCGTCATGATGGGCTTCTTCAACTTCTCAAGCGTCACGACGTTGTACCTCAGTGGGCTCTTTCTCTTCTACATCCCGTCCTTTATCGACTACAACAACTCGGACAACTACGAGCTGTACCACCAGGTCGAGCCGCTCGACGGGATCCGTGTCGAAGTCATCAACGGCATCTACGCCCGCGTCGCGCCGTACGTCATCACTGTGCTCCTGATCAACATCCTCGTTGCCATCGTCTACGACCACGTTTGGAATCTCTCGCATTGGAAAATGCTGCGGAAAAATAGCTTGGCGCGCCAAGCAGTTTACAATAGCACGTCGGTGATGTGCGATTTTCTCTGGGGCATCGAGCCGCACGAGCTGCCGAATGGTCCGGGCTCGGTCGTCTACATCAGTGCGCGCCGCTTGAGCACGCTCCAGTGGTTTTACATGTCGCATTTGACGTGCTTTGGCTTGCCGGCCAAAGATCTCGTTGTGAAGAAGCGAAGCATGCTCACAGTGCACGTCAAGTCGCCGCGCAACAAACCGCCGGTCGCGTCGGCCATGTCTACGCGGTCGGCCAAGGAACCGTCGGGCGGCGAGGCCATCACGACCAAAGCGATCGCCGAAGACGATACTGAAGAGTTCTTTATGCTGGCGCAGGACGGCGACGCCAACATCCACATCCTCGACGGAAACCTCACCGAAGTGCCCAGCGTTGTGTACAACGTCAAGATCCTCAAGAACAACATCATCAAGCTCAAGTAAGAGAAGGCCACGATACGTCAACAGCACGTTTATACCATTGTACATATACGGTAGATATAAAATGGTTATTGGACAAGAAACACAAAAAGTCGAGAATTTGGATTACGGTATGCGGGGAAACGGCAAAGGCAAACAGCCAAGTCGGATGCTGGTGTATCCGATCAAGACTATCACCGAACGGTGCTACAGTACTGGCGTGCAATTCTACGGTATTTTGGCAGATACATCCTAGATCTGAGTCGCCTCCGATCCTCATCCTCGCGGTCCCATTCCAACACCAGGTCCAATGACCGACCACTCGAGTTGACCGCAGTCGAGGCGTCATTGATCGCGCCACCGCAGTCAATGACGCTTCGCCGGCGCCTTGCGATTTTGTAGAAACGCAGACCATTACACGAAAGCCACTACAGTGTACGCTCGGTTGCAATCACGAACAACCTGTAGAGGTGTGCATGCTAACGCTACAGAGCACGACGCTGCCTGATGCCACGACCGCGCCCGCGCAGCACGCCAGTGCACTGATACCTGCACTCCCGGTGCTACTCTTCCTCGTCCCGGACAGCCCAGCGTCGGAGAAACCGCCATCGACGGCGAGAACGACGAACGACTTGGCCCAGCTTCAAGTCGACGCGGTATGTTACGTTCGCACACACGTTCGCCAGCTGTCGGCAGAGTACAGTGTAGGTTTGTCCCCTTCGCCGATCAAGGCACCCAACGCCACGGTCGTCGTTCGCAAGGAGGCAGCTGCGGTCGACGCAGTAGCTTCCACGCATTCGTACTCACGGTCGTTGTATCGTTAAGCTGGTGGGGGGAACTGGCGGCGGTTGGTCCGGCGCTGGCGCCATCTTGGACCGAGATACACTCCGGCAGCGCCATGGCTGGTATGGCGGGTAGGGTAGCGCCGACAATCGAAAAGAGCCTTAACGTACAATGCGTAACTACAAAACGCCAGTTTTTGTTTTTTCCACATGTAAAAGATGGGTGGGCAGCTAACTCGGCACGACCGTGTGTCACGGCAGAGAGTAACGCGCTGGCTCCCGTCGCGACATGGACGGGTCTCGGAGCATTTGAGAACTTGCAACGAGACGAGCTGTTGCAAGATGGGTTTCTTTGGTCGGTCCAGCGAAGCGTCGCCGCGGTCGCCCTCGATTAGCCACAACGACTTGACGCCGAGCGGCCTCGAAGACAAGGAGAACGAGCATGGCGATCTCCAGCGCAAGAAGCGCATGCTCATCATGGCTGGCTGCGGCCTCGCGGTCGTCGCCGCGGTCGGTGTCGTCACCTTTGCAGCGACGAGCTCGACGGACGCCAGCACCGGCGAAGGTCTCGCCACCACGCCCAAGCCGACGACCGCAGTCGCCAACGGCGAAACCTTGGTGGGCTCGACCGGCCACCTCGACAGCGTCCCGACCGAGAGTCCGTTCACCCCGGTGACCACGACGGCCACACCCGAGTCGGCCAACGTGACCTTGATTGGCGACACCAACGTGCTCCCGGGCACTGAGAACGCGACCAAGACGGACGCGCCGACGACGGTCCCGGTCACTGAAGTGCCGACGCCGGCCCCGACGACGGAGGCGCCGACACCTGCGCCCACGCCCGCGCCCACGCCGGCTCCCACGCCTGCGCCGACCCCGGCACCGACGCCTGCGCCTACGCCTGCCCCCACGCCGGCGCCGTCGCCGTCGAGCGGCTCGCCGTCCGACAACGGGTCGGGTCTCTGGGGCGGGAAGCTCTCGATCGTCAACAACCTCCCCAAGATGTGCAAGTACACGGACAAGACCGCGACGTGGTTCTCGTCCAACGGCCGAGGCGACCTCAAGCAGGGCGAGTCGGCGATGATGGGCCCGTTCGGCGGCAGCTACACGGTCGGCGTCCAGGAGAACGTCTTCGAGTGGTGCACGTACGCCGGTACTTGCGCGTGGAACAAGGGCGCGGCCGACAACTACTGCTACAACATCAGCGTCGACAAGAACTGCAACACCAAGTGGAACGACTGCCCGTACCCGTCGGGGAAGAACGGCGGTCTCTCGCCCGCCCCGGATGGGCGCAAGCGCTACACCATCACTGGCGCCATTAGCAAGGACGGCGTCTGCGTCCTCACCGTCAACCCGACTGGCGGCGGCTCCTTCTTCTGCGAGGCGACGATCTAAGCGCGCGGCCATGGATCGCTACATGGCCACCGCGTTGCAGAGACGACAGGCCCACGAGTACTTGTCTCAATGAGGTTGATGCAAGTCCGTATTTGACGAGTACATTTTTGAATTTATACACACCCGCCATCCTACACTATCGCAGTTGGAGTCAAAGTCGCCTTTAGGTCACTAGCCCTCATCTCCGTCACCACCCAAATACCCTCACTTGTCGTCACTGCCTTTGTCAACTCAGTAGACGAACTCTATTCGCGCAGCTGGTCACGCAACGCTGGCAGCAAGTCACGATGGCCGATGCAAGGTCTCGGAGTCGAGTCCCGCCCTGAACAAGTGGCATCCGGATTGGACCTTATATCCGGCAAAACAACTGGGTTTAAAACCAGTTTAAAACAAACTGCACGCACCCAACCAGCTGTCGGCAATGCCACGTCGGCTCGACGAACCGCTCGGCGTAGCTGCTCAGCGTTGCTATGACGCCGACCCGAGGAGATGCAGTATCTGACGAGGCCGCCGAGGGTCTTATCGTAGACCACGACGGTCGAAAGAGTATCGGTCACGCATCTCTCGCTCAGCCGCGGTCGCCAGCGACCGTGCATGGGACCTTGGTCCTTGGGCTCACGGCGGTCGTCGTCATGGCTCTCGCCGGCATCTTGCTCGTCGTGTCGACAACGACGACGCAAGTGGCAGAGAAGCCGCAGCCCACCCGCCCTCCTGCGACTACGCTTCCTGCGTCGCACGCGCCAGGGTTCAAGCCATGGGCTCCTCTATCCGTGTCGTCGCCCAACGGCCGAAAACTGGCCTACATGCTGTACGCGACAGACGACCTCCAAGCCTGCAACGCGCTCATCGCGGCCAAGAAAGTCCGCGCACTTGGCACACCGACGTTCATTGATCTTGTCGTGCTGGTCACCGAAGACGTCTCGGCGCAGGCGTGCCAGGTGCTGACGGACGGCGGTGTCCGCCCGATGAACGTTGCGCGCTGGCGGCGCAAGACAGGCGGAGACTACTACAAGGATTCGCTCACAAAGTTGCGCATCTTCCAAGAGCTCGGGTACGACCGCGTCATCTACATCGACACGGACACGGTCATCATGAAGAACCTCGACGCGCTCTTCCACCTGCCACATGCTATCTTTTGGGCGCCTCGGGCGTACTGGCTCGAGAAACTCCAGCCGTTCATCACGTCCGTGCTGCTCGTAGTGGACCCAGACAATGCGCGCTTTGAGCAGCTCGAGCGCGCGATCGAGACGGAAACCGAGGTGCGCTTCGACATGGACGTTCTCAACGTCGAGTGGCAGCACATGGCCGGCATCCTTCCGTCCGAGTACGTGGTGCTCACGACGCATCTCAAGCACGACGTGGACAAGTACCTCTTTGGCTACAAGTCGCTCATGGACCGTGTCAACCACACGTACATTCACCATTTCTCGTACTCGGACCAGTACATCAAGCCGTGGACGATGGACGTGGATGCGATCGAGCGCCAGCCGCACGTCCTTCCTCTTTTCTACGATCTGTACGAAGAGTATTGGGCACAGCGACGAGCCTTGTGCTCCTTTCTGTGATAACACACTACTGTTAACCTCATTTGGATGTCTCCGAGGCTGTTTCTAGCTCTTGATGTCGATGGTCGCTTCAAGATGATCAAGCTAGCACTACTTGAACAATGATCGCTTAGTAGCTCTTGTGAATGTCGTATGAGATGAAAGCGAAAATGCAGTGATGCAGCCAGTGTAGTTGCTGGCAAGCACGTTCGAGCGCTGGCCTTTGCTCGGACCAACGTGCTTGACCACTCCATCTTGAAGTTGATCTGGGTGCACTTTTATACTCGGGCCTCGGCGAATCTCAGATCTTACTCTCGCAGCACCTTCATAAAACAAAAGCGCGCTATCGATGCACGCTCGTACTGTTGTATGCAAGGTCTTCTCTGGGATGCGGCGCGCCTCCTAGTTTCTACTAGACTCGTGCTCGAGCTGTCTGCTGAGTGATCGAGTGACGTGGAGTCGCCGGTCGACAAATTTGCAATCTTCCGCGATGGCAGCGCTGACGATCGTCATTTCAGCCAATGAAAACGCAGCACGCAATAAGCTTGCGGTTTGTATTTGTGTCGTTTACAAGTCACTTGCAGTTGGGTAATCGAACAATGTCTGCACGATGCCATTGGCTCCTTTTTAGCCAATGGCCTTTAGGATACCGGCGGAAATCCATCTTGGACCGCTCATTTTGGAATTGCATCCCAAGGTAAGCCACGATGCAGCGAGTTGCCACGTTTCTCACTGCCGCTACGATCTTAGGCGTCGCCAGCTTCGTCTTCCTCGCCGTCCAACTCCCAACTCCATCCACCTCTGCTACCATGGCTGCCACGCACGAAGAGTCCTTCCTCCCGATCGCGCCCACGAGCGACTTTCCCATCCAAAACCTGCCGTACGGCATCTTCTCGACGCGCGACGCGCCCGAGCAGAAGCGCGCGGGTGTGGCCATTGGCGACTTTGTCCTTGACTTGGCCGTGATCGCCGCCGCGGGCCACTTCAAGGCCTTCAACGGCTCGGTCTTTGCCGAGCCGACGCTCAACACGTTTATGGGCCTCGGCAAGGCGTCGTGGGACGCGGCTCGCGCCACGATCAAGCACCTCCTCCTCAAGGACACGCCGACGCTCCGCGACGACGCTGCCCTCCGCGCCCGCGCGCTCGTGCCTATGGCCAACGTGCTCATGCACCTCCCGGCGCGCATCGGCGACTACACGGACTTTTACTCGAGCCGCGAGCACGCGACGAACGTTGGCATCATGTTCCGTGGCAAGGACAACGCGCTCCAGCCCAACTGGCTCCACTTGCCGGTCGGGTACCACGGCCGCGCGTCGTCAGTCGTTGTCTCGGGCACGGAGATCCGCCGCCCGCGCGGCCAGGTCCAGGCCGACAACACCGACCCGACCAAGGGCTCGGTCTTTTCGCCGTGCCGTATCCTCGACATTGAGCTCGAGATGGGCTTCTTTGTCGGTACGGGCAACAAGCTCGGCGACTCGATCAAGATTGACGAAGCCGACAACCACATCTTTGGCTTTGTGCTCATGAACGACTGGAGCGCGCGCGACATCCAAAAGTGGGAGTACGTGCCCCTTGGCCCGTTTGGCGCCAAGAACTTTGCGACCACGATCTCGCCGTGGGTCGTGCCCCTTGCGGCGCTCGAGGCGTTCCGCACCGAGCCGAGCTTTGGCCCGGAGCAGAACCCGGCGCCGCTTCCGTACCTCCTCGACCGCAACTACGCCCGTGGCACGTACGACATCAAGCTCGAAGTCGACCTCAAGCCCGAGCACGGCAAGGCGGCGACGATCTCCAAGAGCAACTACAAGTACATGTACTGGAACCCCAAGCAGCAGCTCGTGCACCACACGGTCTCCGGTTGCAACATGCAGCCGGGTGACTTGCTCGGCAGCGGTACCATCTCGGGCGTCGCCCAGGACAGCTTTGGCTCGTTGCTCGAGCTCAGCTGGCAGGGGTCCCGCGAGATCCAGATCGCGGACGGCGAGACGCGCAAGTTCCTCAAGGACGGCGACTCGGTCAACATTCGCGGCTTTTGCCAGGGCCAGGGCTACCGCATCGGCTTTGGCGACTGCGAGGGCAAGATCCTCCCCGCCCACCTCTAAGCGCGCCTTGTAACTAATAACTTGTTTTCGTCTCGTTGGCCTTGAGCAGCTACACCATCGACGAGGGCCACGTCACCAGTGTGCGTTGCTGGCAGCCTTGTCAAAGCAGAGAGATGACGCGAGCGAAGAACTCGCAACACACAAGTTGTACAGCTCGATATTCGGCCTCTGTTTACGGGCGAATCAACTCTGCTACGATACGTCTTCCGCATGCGTGGCCACGACGCGTCACCTTTGGGATAAGGACGCGTCTCGCTCACGAAGTCTCATGCGGCGCGCTCGAGATGGCATATGATGACGGATCTTGATCGTCAGCGTGCTCTTCCATGGTGCTCTTCTATCGGTCTCGTTGGGCTGACACAGGTTAACTTTGAGCGAACTTCGGAATCGCTCTGTAGCTTTTCGCTTCACCGCCTTTTGCTCGTGGTTCAAGCTAGATCGACGATGAGCATCACAATACCTGCCTGCTAGCTGCCTGCCGTCATTGACACCCACTGTACGCAGCTTGCCTCGGTGGCTTGGAACCTGATGCGACCTCTGTACCATATCTACAGTCCTGGCACCGGTGGTGCAAGAGCCAAGCCAAGATGTGCACGAAATGGGCACCCAAGGTGTACTAGTAGCCATCATCGTGTCGACTCGTGTGATGACCGGCAACAACAGACGAGGAAGAGACGATTGCAAATACTGCCGACGGTTCACCGACACTTGGCTGCACGATGCAGCTTCTGTAGCACGTTGGTTGGTGTGCCCAGTGTAGGTCAACTGAGGAGCAGTCAACTCGTCTTGGCCTCAGAGAAACACCACTGAGGTAATAGAGCTTGGCTCAGTTCTGAGAGTTGAGGATGTTTCCTGGCTCGCTTCGGGCGACTCAGGTTCGCACGCGCAAGAGACGCTGTGTATCTCTCACGGACGGCTCGGTGCGAAAGCTCCTCCGCTGGTGGCACTATGCGGAAGGACACACGAGGAGAGACACCATGAAGAAGTAGGTATCTTATTGGACTCGCAGTGATCAATCAATCAAATGGCACTCGACATGGCGATCCAGTGCGCAAGCGACGACGACGACGTGGGAAAAAGGCACTCAACAGACGAGCGAACGCAGGACCAAGCGCTTAGTAGGTATGGCCCGACGTCTTCTTCTTCTCACCAAGTTCGAAGTGCTTGGTGCGCTTGATGGGGAGCTGCTTCTTGGCCTTGCACTCCTTGCACTCCATGCGAAGCGTGATCTTCTTGGTGGTCTTCGCCTTCTTGTGGAAGACGGGCTTGGTCTGACCACCGAAACCCTGCTGCTTCTCGTTATAACGACGAGCACCCTGGGCGAACTTGGACGCCTTGCCGGCCTTGTACTGCGTGACCTTGTGCACAGTGTGCTTGCGGCACTTCTTGCCCTTGCAGAAGGTGCGACGTTCCTTGGGGATGTTCACCATTGTTTCTACGCATCGCCATGAGCGCCGTGTCCAATGCGCACGGTCGAGGTCGTTCGCGATGGTTGCGCCGACGCATGGCCGCGGCCTCGCTGCCAGCTGCGCCGGCCATGCATCGGGTGCCACCTGCACGAAGCGAGCTCGTCCTACGTCGTCTCCATACCTTAGTCCTTGCGAAAAGTCCAATAATAAAAGCCAAAGGACGAAATTCCCCACACAGACTCCCGTCCACCAAACGGTTTGTATGGAGATGACTCTCCACCAGCCAACGGCGCTTTTCTATTGCAGCCAATCACATGCCAGACATTCGTCTTTTTAGCCAATCAAACGCGAGAATGAATCTGCCAATCCGCGCCACTCGATGGCAGCTCACCGCATGCATTAAAATACGCACATTTTTAATGACCGAGTCCCCGCGCGCAAGAAGCGCTACGACGTAATTCTATTAAACGACGCATGAGATTGCACTTTATTTTAATTGCGTGCGCTGGCCGACCGATCGCTGCAAATGCCAAGATTCGCGCCGCCGACGGGACCGTACTACGCGCGAGCGGTGCCCCAAGGTACGCAGAGGTATGGCTACTGGCACCTACTGCCTACGGCGGCGCCATCGACTGCCACGGTAAGAGGCTGCAATGGACTCGAACGCATGCGTTGTTCTTCCATCATTCGAATACGGGCATGGCGAGCATCCATCAGAGGTGGCGAGCAACTACAGTCACCGCGATACCACGCATGGTGGCAGTCAAGCGACTAGTAGGCGCCATTGGAATTGCTTGGCGATACAGCAGCAGCACGCGGCCTCTGAAGCACATCTCCTACGCGCGCATATAAGATTAGCACCCGCGCCTATAAGATTGCAGCGTTGCAGTCGTGTCGATGGCAGGAAAGGCGGCGCTGCAATGGCAAGCCTCGATGGCGAGTGTGTGCGTTGGTGTGGTCATGCGACCGCTGCTTGTGCAAGATCACCACAGTTGGATCCCGTCGACGTCACTCCATGAGCGTACCATGGAGCTCGAATCACGCACTTGTCGACCATCTACTGCCGGTGACGCGCGACCTGACGTCCTGCGCTGCAAGCGCAAGGTGAACAAATAAGTAGTTATCAAAATAGAGCACTGGGTCTTTCTAACGTGCTAGTCGACGTCGCAGCCGTAGAGCTGGATGACGTCGTGGGCACGGACGTTCTCGGGCCGCGCGGCAATCATGGCCGGTGACACGCCATTGAAGTTGACGACATTCACATTTGCACCGTATTCGAGGAGGACGCGGACGACCTCGAGCCGCTTCTCAATGCACGTTTCTTCGCGTCGAAGCTGGACAGCCCAGTGCAAGGGCGTAAACCCAAATGCGTCGGGCAAGTTGACGTCGGCGCCGGCTTCAAGGAGTACGCGCGCCATCTCGGAGAGCGCTTGCTGCGCGCAAATGTGCAGTGCCGAGCCCTTGTCGTGGCCCTTGCTGTTCGGGTCCGTGCCCCGTGAGAGCGCCTTCTTGGCGCTGTCTACGTCGCAGTTGCGGACAGCGTCCCGGAGGTTCTCGCCCGCTATTTCATCTCAATAAGAACAAAGATACCGAGAACGAGATAACGTACCGAGGCCCGGCGCGTTGCAAAAGGTCGCAATGCCATAGACGACGCAGAAGAAGAGCGCAAGCACAATCTTGGCCGAGAAACGCGCATAGGCAAGCACCTCGCCGTACCCGCCCGTCGGGTCGTGGATCGAGGCCACACCGGACGTGAACGCCGACAGCGGCAGTGCTTGTGCACCGCCGACCGACTGGAGCCGCGCTACGTAGGCTTCGTGGAGCCGGTGTGTGTACTGCGGTCCCGTCGTGGCCTGCAAGGCGACATTGGCTTCCCAGACCGCGACGACGAGCGAATACACGGGCACGCCGAAGAGGCGAACAGCGCCGCCAGCGAGCGTCATGGGGGTCGCCAGCACGTACTTCCAGAGGTACGGCTGGTCGCTGCGCGCGTCTTCGCGGAAGAGTGACGTGGCGGCGGCAATGAGACCGACGTACATGCCGAGGAGCACTGACCGATGGTGGTTGCTGTGCAGGTAGTCGCTCAGCATGCCCACAACGTACTGCGCGAGCATGATGCGCGGGTACTCCCAGACGAAGCCCGCGACGACGAGGAAGACGCCGACCTTTGTGTGGTGGTGCAGCAGCAGCTTGAGCATACGCGTCGTCGATCTGAAACTGGTCATCGAATGCGACGCGAATTGCGTTGTTCCATCGTTCGAAAAAGGAAAAAGCCTAATTTGGAACGATGCCCTGGCTACGCCCAAACTTGGTTTTTGAATACTCATCCTAGTTGAGGTCCATCGAGATCAGGAACGGCGCCTGGTTTTTACGTGGCAACTTGATGTGGCGGGAGCTTGCCCGAGGCTGGGACCAGCTCGGCCCGCCGCCGCCCTTTTAATAGACTCCTGGAGCGCTTGAATGATTCCTGCAGCTGATTCAAGGTGCTAGCGTGGCTGTCAGGCTCTGGCGCATTGAAGCGTGAATGGCTGAGGTTGATGCCAGCCGCCTCTCCCACACCACAGCAGCCATTATGTCTGACTGCTCAGAGCGCTACACAATCCGAAATCGCAACGTTCGTGTGCTTTATGCAGCCAGAGACAGTGCGAACTCGTTTGGTTCAATGGAATAGATAGATAGTTATATGTACGGAGGGTTAATCGAGGCTGATCAGCGGCTCGGGCGCAGCCGCCACGTCCTTGACGGCCAAGATCACGACCGACTCGACCTGCGTCATGACGTACGCCAGTAGCACCTGCATGTCGGCTTCCGTGCCCTTGACGTACAGCGAGAACTCGTCGTCGCCCACATGCGCGGCCGCGCGAAACATCTTGTGGCCATCGTTGGCAATCGCGAGCGAGTTCTTTTGCGTAGATAGAAACGTCATGAGCGCGTCCATGTCATCGAGTCGGCCCTTGAGCGCGAGGAGCTGGCGAGGCACCGCGGCCACCTTGGCGGCGCTGTAGAACCGGCGGGCATCTTTCTGCACCCGCTTCTTGCGCTTGGGCTTGGAGTCGTCCTTGGGTGCAACCGAAAAATCAAAGTTGGCGGGCACAACGTCGTCGTCGTCCTCTTCATACTCATCGTAGTTGTCGTCGGCGTCGTTGGCGACCGAGGCTTGCAGCGAAACGAGCGAGGTATAGTCGCTGTCGGCCTCTGCCTCTTGCAGCGAGAGTGCCAACGCGTAGTCCACGTCCGCCGCCAGCGCGTCGACGCTGTAGTCGGGGCCATCTTCGAAATCTCGGGGATTGTACCCTGGCGGCAAGTCGTCCTCAAAGTCCTTGGGGTCGTAGCCGTCGGGGAGGCTGTCCTCAAAGTCCTTGGGGTCGTAGCCTTCCGGGAGGTCGTCGTGCGTCGTCGCAGCGAGGGCGCGCGCGAACGCTTCGTCCATAATCTCGCGCAGCGGCACGGGCGAGGATGTCGTCATTTCCTGCAAAAGGCAAAGTGACGTTGGCCTTTCTGGCATTCGTCTCGGCCACGAGCGGCGTTCGGCGCTTGTTCCATTGATGCTGACCAACACTCGACCTCTAAAGAATGCAGGTCGTGTCTGCGCCATGCGTGTTTGTCACTGTCTCAGGTAGAGTTGCGTGCAGGTAGTTTTATTAAACCAACGTGTTGTCTTGATTGATGGTGACGGTAGAATTTTTGAGTATCTTGATGCTGTAGACAAGACTGATCACGTCGCTGCGCTGACCGTCGAGGAGGTGGATGTGGCGGTCGCCATCTTGGACGACCATCGAGAACAAGTCGCGAATGTCGTCGCTGCTGCCGCCGGGTTTTTTCGAGCTCAAAGCTGAGAGAGTGTCGCTGCGCGCAATCGAGCGCGTTCCGTTGGTTCGTTGCGTCTGGAGGCGCGACTGCACGTTGTTGAGCGACTGCTTCTTCATTCGCAGCTCCTTCTGCGGTAAGCCAAAGCACATTAAGTGTTTCATGAAGAACCACTGGAGCGTGCTCAAGCGGCGTGCGCGGCGCATTAGGATTGACGCCTCGCTTGTCGTGTCGGTATCGGGCTCAATCCCATCCAAGTAATCACAGACAATCGAGGTGCTGGTGAAGTTGGCTTGGCGCGCCAGTTGTTTTTGGCTGAAATGACCCAGTTTTGTCGATTTCAGAGATGGTCGAGCGCCGCCACGAGCAACACGTTGAACGTTGAGAAAGAGCCCCAGTGCAATCGAAGACGCGACGCGGACGTAATAGTCGTCTCTGGCATGTGTGGATTTTGCATGCGATGTACAGAGGAGAGGCTGAGCTTGTACGGTTCATGACGTCATTGTAGTAGAAGGGACGCCACCGGTTTCAGCGCCGCTTGGCTCGCCCCACTAATTATAGCGTCAACTGCTGCACCAAGGCAGTAGCCAACATGCGCCCTGAAACCATCCTGCCGCTTCGGGTGCGCCTCATCCGCGCGTCCGACACCCTGCACCGGTACGCCGTCCGGCTCATCGGGACGTTTGTCGTCTTCTTGCTCACAGCGGACGCAGTCGTCAACAACTGGTCGCTCAACAACTACCTCGGCGGCGGCTACTTCTTCTTGACGCCGGTCGGCGGTATTGGTGCCGCGTATGAGCTCGATACTGAGTACAGCTTTGGCCACGGCCGCGCGATTGCCAACCTCTCGGACATCGGGTACTGGATGACAAACGTGACGGTGAACCACCTTGTGACCAAGAGTAAGCACATGTACACGTTTACAGCCGGCGAGTATGCGCTCACGCCGGCCACGGATCTCTGTCCGATCTTCACGGGCACGTACAGCGCGTCGTCGGCGTCATCGATTCGCTTGGCGCTCGCGGACGACGCCATCTCGTTCTACCGCGGGCACGCGCTCGACCATATCTTTACAAACGACCAAACCGCCAACTTGGCGACGCCCGGTATGTCGAGCACTGAGCTATTGAAGCTCGGGTACATTCCCGGGCGCACGAGCGTTGATAAACGCTTCACCAAGCCATTCCAAATCGCCAACACGTCGCAACTGCAGCATGTTGTCGTGCCGTATTTTCGCATGTACTCGCACAACTTTTGCACGGGGTGCACGCCGATTGCCGAGCTCGGGTTCAGCAAATGCAACATGACGCTATCGTATAGTGACGCGACGGCGACACTCCGCGTTATCTCGAGCGACTTTGTGCCTGGCTCGACATACAAACTGGGCGTGACCATGGTCAACTCGGCCGTCGGCACGCTGTCGCTTGTCGGCAAGCTCTTGGCGATCGCGCTTGGCATCGGCGGCTTCCTCGCGAGCCGGCGCACCGTGCAGTGGTTTGAGGTCGACCCGTCGAAACCCGACTCGATCGTCGCCAAGGTCCTGCGGACCGTCATCCCAAAGTATTTTCCATTTGCGAGCAATGCGCTCAGCTACGACATGTTTTGCTACAACTCGGACATCTTTGTGTTCGTCTACACGTTCTCGGTGCTCCTCGATCTGCAAAATTGCCTCTTGTACGTCGGTAGCGTCAACGTGTACAATGCGCCGGCGCCCCAAGTCCTCGTGTCGCTCATGATGTTTTCGCTTTCGTGCCGACTGCTCTGGGTCAACTGCGCGATTCTCAAATTCTGCAAGATCTTTTGGAACCTCGTCGTGCACTCGAACTACAATGGGCAGAGCAACGTCATGACGTTCTTCAATTTCTCGACGGTCACGTACCTCTACCTCAGCGCGATCATGCTCTTCTTCATCCCCGCGTTCGTCGAGTACGACAACTCGGTGCACGCGGATCTGCCCAAGTCGGTGGAGTCGCTCGACGGCCTCCGTGTCGAAGTGTTTGACGGCAGCTACATGCGCGTGGCGTCGTCCATCATCTACCTCCTGCTCGCAAATGTGTTTTGCGTCACAGTCATCGACCACGTCATCAACTACAAGTACTGGCGCACGCTGCGCAAGAACTCGCTTACGCGCCAAACAGTCTACAACAGCAGCTCGATCCTCTGCGACTACCTCCCGCGCCTCGAAAGCCACGAAGACGGCGTGACGACGACGACGAGCATTCGCGCGCGCCGGCTGAGCACGCTCCAGTGGTTCTTCATGAGTCATTTGACGTGCTTTGGCTTGCCGGCCAAAGACCTCCTCGTGAAGAAGAAGAAGACGCTGCTCGTCCAAGTCAAGGTCGCGCGGGCCTTTCGCAACCCCACGGCGCAGTCGGCCGTGTCGGCGCGCGAGCCAGCCGACGCGATCGAAGAGGAGGAGGCAGAAGAGTTCTTCACGATCGTTCAGGACGGCGACCGTGTGATTCACTTGCTTGACGGCAACTTTGCCGACGTGGGCAGCACATCCTTCAATGCCAAAGTGCTCAAGGACGCACACATTACGATTCGATAGATAAAATTGTATATATTTCATGTAAAAATACACTCAAACTGTCAAGGGATTTTGCTTCATGCCCTTGAATGGTCACGTACATAGATCGCACGAGGCAGTGCCTCGACAGTTTATGGCTCCAATATGAAAACAAGTTGGTTCGGATAGGAAAAAAAATAAAATGGCAGCACTTGCGACAGAACATGTGTGCTGGCTTGGCTCAGAGTATCTTTGGCATGAGCAAGCGACATGCCAAAACGTCAAGATCAAGGTGGCTTCGGCTTCAATGTATTTTGGTTCGAGTCGCCGACTATTTCGAACGGTTGATATGGCCGGCTCATGCGGCTGGCAATGTCGCTCTCGCTGGTCAAGGGTGCCATTCCAGGTGACACGTGAAAAACCACACATCGACACAGATGCAACGAAAGAAGCGTGTACACTGTCTGCACTCTAGAGGCGAGTAGCTCGCTTCTTGACTTTGTATCAATGTGTCGAGTAGGATTACTTGAAAATGTAGTTGGATAGAGTTGTCTAAAACACAGTAAAATGCATGGTTGTCTTACTTTATGGTGACAGTCGTGTTCTTGAGCACCTTGATGTTGTAGACGAGGCTCGTCACGTCGTTGAGCTGGCCGTCGAGGAGGTGGATGTTGTGGTCGCCGTCCTGGACCACCATGTACGCGCCGTCGTCAGGCACGGGGATCGGCAACGGCAGCGCGGTCGGGTGCGTAATCGAGTTGGACCGCGTGCTCGAATTGGCCGTGTGGTGCTGCTTGACCGTGACCTGTGCAATCGAGAGCTTCTTGGCGCGGAGCTGCTTCTCGGGCAAGCCAAAGCACGTCAAATGGCTCATGAAAAACCACTGCAGCGTGCTCAGGCGGCGCGCGCGGCACACGATCGACGACGCGGCGCTGCGGTCGTCTGCGTCGGGCTCGATGCCGTCGAGAAAGTCGCACACGATCGAGCTGCTGTTGTACATGGCTTGACGCGCGAGTGAATTCTTTGCCAAAAGCTGCCAGTAGCGCCAATTCCAGAGCCGGTCCACGGCCGTGACAAGGACGACGTTGAGGACGAGGCCGGCGCCGACGGACGAGAGCACGCGGAGGTAAAACCCGTCGAAGACACGGACGCGGATGCCGTCAATGCTTTCGTTGACGTTGCGAATGGACGTTGCGACCGAGTTGTTGTACTCAATGTACGCTGGGACGTAAACGAGGAGGACGGCGCTGAGGTACACGGACGTGGTCGACGACAAATTGCAAAAGCCCATGAGTGCGCTCTGGCCGTTGTACGACGCGGTGCTCACAAAGCTCCCGACGATCTTGAGGAGCTTGAGAAAGGCGCAGTTGACCCAAAGCAGCCGGCTCGAAAGCGAAAACATTTGCAGCGAGTAGAGAAACTGCGGCGCCAGCGAATTGTACACGTTGACTTCGCGGACAAAGATGAAGCAATTGTTGAGGTCGAGGAGCACCGAGATCGCATACAAAAACACAAACAAATCCGAGTTGTAGCAAAACGACGCGTAGCTCAGCGCGTTGCTCTGGTATGGAAAGAGCTTGGGGAGGATGATGCGGAAGGTGCGGGCGACAAGCCCATCGACTTTGGTCGGGTCGACTTCGAGCCACTGGACGGTGCGCCGACCCGCGAGGTACCCGCAGATCGCGATCGCGATCGCTAGGAGCTTGATGTAGAGCGCTGCGACGCCAAATGACGAGTTTTGCATCATGAGCCCAAACATGTAGGTCGAGCCGGGCACAAAGGTGCTGTTGGTCACGCGAAGCACTTTGGTCGTGTCGTTGTAGACGTAGGTGAAGTTGCAAACGCTATGGCCGAGCTCCGCCGTTGGCGCGCACCCGGTGCAGAACGTGCGGGGAAAGATGCGGTAAAATTTCACAATCTGCGACTGCGGCTGCGTCGTGTTGCGAACGACCACGTCGTGCGTGAAGCGGAGGTCCGTGCTGGCGCGCCCGGGCACATAACCGAGGTCGTATAACTGGGTCGACTTCATCGAGGAGTTACCCAAGTTGGCCTCGGCGTCGTCGGTAAGAAAATGCGTGAGCGCGTTGCCGCGGTAGAAATTCACCGAGTCGGACGCAAGCGCAAGACGGACGGTGCCAAGGCTTGGGATACTGTACGTTTGGGCAAACGTCGGACAAAGGTTGGTCGTCCGCGTCAGTTCAAACTCGCCGACGTTGATGACGTACACGTCGACGCTCTCGGTGACGAGGTTGACAACGGTGGCGTTGGCGATCCATTGGCCAATGTTGGAGAGGTTGGGAATGCCGAGATTCCGCGCGTAGCTGTACTGCGCACTGAGCTGCTGCGCGTTTTGGGCCGCTGCAATCGGCGTGATGAAGAACTTGCCGTCGCCCAAGTACGCGTTGATGGCCCAGTTGTTGACGAGCGCGTCGCTCGCTATGAGCGGCAAAACAAAGAGACCGCCGATCGCGACGGCACGCTGATACAAGCGCCGGCCGTGGCCGTATAGCGAGTGCTTGGACTTGACACTGGTCACATCCTCCGTCATGTAGGCGCTTCGTCCCATCGTGTCAAGAGGCCAAGTGAAAATGATCGGTAGCTGGTGGTGACTGACTGATGCGGGTAAGAAACGCTTCAACTAGCAAATATCTTTTCGCCTCATTTTGAACGAAACGTCGTCACAGTGCAAGGTCGTCGTACCACAATACTTCAACTCTACTGCATTATTGGTACGGCATGGCTCATTTTGAAAACCAAGAGCGTAGTCGATGTCGATATAGTGATATTTGACGACTGCGCTGGTGTCGACGGTGGGCTCTGGTTGTCGAAGGCCAGAGCCCATCGGGTAGCAACCTCTATTTTTGCTGTGGCCGCCATTGCTCACCGTTGGTGGCACGACAGCGTCGTGCCACAGCGATGACAATCCGTCAGCTCACAACGGCGGTACGGCGGTTTACACCTCTGCGGACCACACGTCCAACATGAGGTAGGACAGAATTTGGAGCCACCCTGGATGCTCTTATGGTTGCCGGCTCGTAGCCACGACAACCAGCAAAACGGTGCATAAGAATCTGGTGTCACATCAAGGCAACAACTACACCAACCACTGGAAGCACGTGCATTCGTTCCTCTCGATTCGTGTCTTTTTGGGCCCGAACGTTTCAGGAAAGGGCAACGGATGTGCAAAGTGGGAAAGGCTGTTTGTGTTGTGTAATGGACCATCAGCCTTGCGTTCTGCAAGTCGGTTTGTACGACGACGAGACGTCGCTTGGACGACCAAGCGCACAGACAAGACTGTGACGAACACCGTGTCTGTCCAGTAGGTCAAGGCTGTCATCACGCACTCGGTGGTCCTGCGTGGTCGAAGCCGACATTCGGTCTATTCTCTCACGACAACGAACAGGACTATGTCTGCAAACGCTGTCGTGCGACAACCAAGCAAATAACTTCCCAAGAGAGGGTGCCACTTGAAGGCTCTCGTATACGGTAGCGGTGTGCGTCCAGTCTCACGAAAGACTAGTTTTTGGCGCAGATTCATTGTGTGCTAGTATGTATCGAGCAGTTCGCATGGCAGCGCGGCCATTTTCGTCGAGTCCTAGTCCAAATACAGTGTAGTACAGTACAGCTGGACCGTGCGAAATACACATGTGTCAGCGCAGCGCTTCAACAAATGCGTCTCACCCACCGCTGCGTGGTCAACGGTGATGGAGCCTTATCCGACGGCGGCAAAACTTGCTTTGCACGCTCAACAAACTGAGCGCTCACGTGTCTCGGCGACCAAACCCGTGACGTGTACGCGACGGAATTGGGCCATGCCGGCGTCATACATGAGCTTTAACCCACGAAGCACGACAGCTTTCTAGAACGACTCGTGATAGCAAGCACACAACAGAGTGTGGCGACAGAAATGGTGTCCGCTTCCGGAATGAATTCGCGAGAAGACCGAGGGAAGGCTCCGAGAAGGACGACGACAGATTGTATACAGTCTGCTTGGCGTGCGACGTGCGAGCTCACAAAGACAAGCCATAGTCCTTTATGCCACATCACGGCTTGCCGGTGCATCATGATCGGTCCACACTTCCCAGGCGTCGCCTTCCTCCAATCCTGTGACGCGTCGCTTCTCATTGGCTCAAAACGCCCTCTGGCTCGAAATGAGAGGCAATAATTGCTTGCATTTCATCAGACAGATGTTGCAATGTGTGGTAGCCAGTGATGGTACGACATGTATCTTAGGTACACTCTGAAGCAAAGTGCGTTCTTACGGGGTGCTCATCCTCATCCATGATAGAAGGGAGTACACGTGTGCACCTTTCTTGTATTACGAATGCATCAAGTACACTTCGTGTCCAGCGATAACAGCGGTGCGCAACGTACCACAGTCCACAGTGCATCGTCAACGGCTGGGAAGTCCTCGCCTCGACCGTGGTTGAGCGCCGGTAAACTCGGATCTCACTCTTCAACTCTCCGCGTTCTCGACACTACGACCACCAAGAAGAAGAATGCCGGAAATCACCAAGGAAGTCGGCATCGCCTTTGCCCTCACGTGGGCCGCGGCCTTCGCCACCTGCATCGGCGGTCTCGTCATCTTTAGCGCGTCCATGGTCAAGATGGCCAACGCCAAGAACCTCTCGATCGCGCTCGCGCTTGCCGGTGGCGTCATGGTCTTCATCTCGCTCGTCGAGATCTTCAACGAGTCGGTCGAGCAGTTCAAGGCTGGCAACGCCGACGAGGCTGGCGAGTGCGACTCGACGTGCGAAGGCAACGCGTGGGTCTTTACCAACATTTGCTTTGCCGTTGGCGCCGGCATTATCTACCTCCTCGATGCGCTTGTGCACCGTCTCTCGCCCGATCTCAAGGACGAAGTCGACCTCGCTGACCTCGCGCGCCTCGAACAAGTCGTCGACGGCCATGTGGCCTTGACGACGCCGACGGACGCCGACAAGGAGGCGCTTGCTGGCAAGGAGAAGGCGGCCATGAACCGCACCGGCGTCCTCACGGCCATTGCGCTTGCGATCCACAACCTCCCGGAAGGTATTGCCACGTACACGGCGGCGGTCCACGACCTCAAGGTCGGCGCCACGCTTGCCATTGGTATCGCGCTGCACAACATTCCGGAAGGCATTGCTGTCGCGACGCCCGTCTACTTTGCCACCGGCAACCGCTGCAAAGCCTTTTGGTGGGCCTGTGCGTCGTCGCTCGCGGAACCCCTCGGCGCCATCCTTGCGTTCTTTATCCTCGGTGACGGCCTCAACCCGACCGTGGAAGGTGCCATGTTTGGTCTTGTCGCTGGTATGATGGTGACGCTCTCGATCAAGGAACTGATTCCGTCGGCCGTCAAGTTCTGCCCTGATGGCAACGCTGTCTCGATCGCGATCCTCGGTGGCATGGGCATCATGTCGTTGAGTCTCATCCTCTTTGCGTACGTCGGCGTCTAAGCGCACCGACCACCGCCTCTGCTTGATAGACCCCACTGTGTTTTGCGTGTTCATCGGCTGCTCTCATAGCTATAAGGACGATCGTCCAATACAATGTATACTGCTGCCACTAAAACGACTTTGAAAAACATGTCCGTACCAGCCCCGTGAACATCTCGCGGGACCCCAGAAAGAGTCAATAAACCCTTACCCTAGAAAACGCCTAGAACGATTCCCTTGCCGTAACCCCCATGTTTGGACAAACCAGGTGCGGCATGCGAGCACTCTCATCCGGGTCAACGGCTGTGAGTACAAGGAAGGACATTCCTTGTACTGTAGAGTGGCGTTGTGGACCTTGCATGCAAGATCGACGCACCCGCATCGACACCGGGTGTCGTCCATAAAAGTACAGTATTGTCCGCCAAACCTTGCCATCCCAGTCCAACTCATGGCCCCGAACGCCGCAGAAGCACCTGCCGCGTCTCAGATTCAAATCGTGCGGTCGTAACGCGTCCACTGGTGACCATTGAATTTGTAGCCAATCAGCGTAAGGAATAGAAAAGAGCCAGTGCCCTTGAAGCAGCAAGTGCAATGTGAGGCCGAATCGTCAGACAACTGGGGAGCGCCTTCTTCGTCGCAATCTCCGAGATACGAACACGCAGAGTAAAAAAGCTCCCCGAGAGACACGACAACTGCGGAAAGGCGCAGCGTTGGTACACGCTGCCACCAGGATGAAACCAGACGGAAGAAGCTATCAAATTTGGGAGGTTAACATGAGGCATGTCCGAGCACACAAGGATCCTCATGCTATAATTTTCTGCTGATGGGTCGACCAAGTCGCGCGGTATCCATGTACGACGTGGGAATGTGGAGGGTTCTTCAATATTCGTTCAGACTCTAAATTGTGGCGTGTATGTCGGCAACGTACAGCGCTGTTTCGCCTCATAAATGCATTGCCCAATGATCGATCGTCCAAACGTAAAATTTACGAAACGAGTTTCGCTGTCACGGCGCGCATCTCTGCCACGAGTCCCAATGTCTTTCCAACTCGAACCCAGCGTCCCGACGTCGAGCAGGATCGATGGCGGTCCCTTCTGATGTGTCGACACGACCACGGAGAGCGCTCGTGCTGCCACGTTTCTTCCGAATCTACGAGATTCGAGTATTCAGTTGCAGAGGTATTTATCTTTAGAGGTGCGAGCCGGAACCTCTCAAAACCAATCGTGGGTGCGGAAGCCGTCGAGTCAACAGGCAGCGCACTCTTCAGCCAACCTCAAACCACCACCATGTCCACGCTGCACCAGCGCCGGCCGGCGCCGACGCCCGAGCCCGCCGAGGCCGCTGCCATGAGCAAGCCCAACCCCGTCGAGGCCGCCATCAACTGGGCGTACCTCAACCTCGGCGGCGAGGAATGGGACTGCCAGCCCGCGTGCATCATCACCGACTACATCCTCGCCATCCAGTGCTTCATCTTCATCGCGTACCTTACGTTCATGACGAGCTACCTCAACGAGCAGTCGCACTGGTATGTGCTCTACTTCTTCGCGATGGGCACGACCGCGCTCGTCGGCGGCTTCCTCCACCATGTGGCCTTCAAGGCCAAGAAGGTGTTTGACGCCGAGTCGGGCTCGAAGCGCGTCTTTGGCGTCTACGTCACGCGCCCGACCGTCGATGCGATCATCGACTGGAGCTGGCACCTCGTGCTCGGCTTTACGACGCTTACCAACTTTTGCCTTGTCGCGTTCGCCGCGTCGCGCTACCTCTCGGACGGCTCGTCCGAGCTCACGATCTGGATCGCGGGCACTGGCTACTCGATCGTCGCGATCTTCGCCTTCATCTACATGAACACGTCCTTCATGCTCCTCGGGTTCCTCCCGGCCATGGTCTTTGGCAGCGTCATGTCGGTCATGGCGTACGAACGCGGCGTCGTCCACGAGCTCCTCGTGCTCACGCTCAAGCTCGCGTCCGGCTTGATCCAGGGCCTCGCGGTCTCGCCGTCGTCCAAGCATTTCAACCACAACGCGCTCTCGCATGTCGTGCTCTCTGCCGCCGCCGCGACCATGCTCATGCACTTTCACTTTGTCGTCTAAGCCTTCCCCCTGTCAATTTATCCCCTTCCTCTTCTTTATCTCTGCAGCCAATGTACACCATTGTCCTCCCAGATACTACGAAGACTCTGGAGACCGGTTCGTGACCCATCGACACGGGATGCAGAAATGCCACGTCGGACTCGTCAGCATGGCCTATCGAGACTCTGTCCTGTGCTGCCGCCGTTGGCTTATGTACAGCTCTATACCCTGGCTTTCATGCAAAGCTCGAGGACGAGGTTCATCGTACTAGGAAGAATCGACGAGACGAGGTAGAGACAGGCGTGGACGGTGTAGGGTTGTACGGTTTAGATATCCTGCGCGACAGCGTCTTCGGTCGATGAGGCGAGCGAGCGGATGATGGTGATGATTCTTAGTGGCGCGCCCGGGTGTTGGGCTGCTGCGTCTGCGGGTGGTAGTAGCCGATCTCGGCGGCCATGAGCTTGCGGATGTCGGCGATCGAGAGCGTGCCTGGGCGCAGATCAAACTCGAGTTCAATGCCGTACGCAGCAATCACGTCCTCTTCTTCGATCGATCGAATGCTCCCGAGGTACGGGTGGTTGAGTGCGTCCTCAACACTCGCTCGCTTGCGCGGGTTCATGTGCAGCATCTTGTGCAAGAGGTCGATCGCGTCGGGCTCGGCGCCCGGGTACAGCTCGGAGAAGCTCTTGGGCGACTGATGCGGGAGCGACCGGAGGTAGAAACGCACGTCCGGGTCAGCGACCTCGGCGATGTCGTCGTCGGCCATGCTCCCGAGCACACGTAGAATCGTGTTGAGCTGGTCTTGGCTGTCTTGGGGCAGCGCCATCTGGCTCGCACCAGGACTCAGCGGGAAGCAGCTCACGCCCGGAAACAGCGGCTCGCGGTTGAAGTGCGATGGCACCGACGTCTTTTGCATCGAGAGCAGCTCGGCAAAGATGCAGCCGACGCTCCACACGTCGATGCCGGTCGAGTAGTCGTGGTCCCGGAAGATGATCTCGGGCGCACGGTACCATCGCGTGACCACGTGCTCCGTGAGCTGTCGCTGGATCTTCTTCTTGGCCGCGGCGCCCGTCGGACTTGCATCACGCTTGCGCTTCGAGGTCGACGACGTTGACGATGCCGGAATCGACGTTGGGTTTGCAATCGTACGAGCCAGGCCAAAGTCGCAAATCTTGATCGCGACAGGCGAGAGGTTGAGGAGCACGTTGGCGGGCTTGAGGTCGCGGTGGACGATCGACGCCGAGTGCATGTACTTGAGCGCCTTGAGCAGGTCCAGCAGAAGCCAGCGAATGTGCTCGGCGGTTAAAAACTGCGGCGAATGCAGTAGCTTCTCCAAGTCGGACGGGAGAAACTCAAACACAACGTAGAGGTTCTGGAACGACGTCAGATCCGACGGACACAGAATTTCGCGAATCTAGTACAAAGACTAGAAACGTCGCCCTGTCTCAAACCACGTACCTGGACAATGTTGCGGTGCTTGAGCTGCCGAAGGATGCAGAGCTCGCGCAGAATGCGCTTGGCATCAATCGGGTCGGAAAAGACATTTTGAATCTTCTTGATCGCGACCACGTCCCCTGTCGGCTACGAAGACAGCATGAGAGAGGCTAAGAACGAGGTCGTAGAGCTTGGTGTGGTACCAGGTGCTTGCAGCGCACGACTTGGCCGTAGCTGCCTTGGCCGAGGACCGTCTCGATCTGGTAGTGTGGAGCAATCTCGTCCCAGCCTGTGAGCGCCGACGTGCCTCGGCCTGGGTTCGGGTTGCGGGCGACGATCGGGTTCGTCGGCGGCGCTAATGGACGTTGCTGAATGAGAAGGAATTCGTACGGTGGCTACCTTGTTGGGCGGCCGAGGGCATCGCATGCAGCGCAGGCGTCTCGGCGAGGGCCGCCATTTCGCGCTGCGTCTTGACGTTGTCGTACATGGCGAGGTCTTGGGCGACGACGAGCATACCGGGCCCCGCAGGGTTGCCGACAAGCGGTGTGCATTCGCAGAGCAAGCGCAGCTCGTGGCCGGCTTTGGCGAACAGCGAGACCTCAAGCGGCGCGCGCGAGCCGTTGGCGCCGTCCATAAAGCTAAAGAGCGCTTGCTCGAGCATCGAGCTGGACGAGACGGGCACGAGGCCCGGGAGGTCGAGGAAGTTGCGGCCCGCGACTTCATCCCGCGTAAAGCCCGTAAGCGCAACCGCCGTGTCGTTCCAGAGGATCACGCGCATGCTCTTGTCGACGACAAAGACGACCGAGCCCGACGCGTAGAGCGACTTGCCGAGCGAGGCGAGACTCTCGGTCGTCTGGCAGAACGAGTCGACAGCCGCGACAAAGGAGCGGACTTGCGGGATGGACGTGACGTACTCGATCTGGTCGCCCATGGTCTGGCGCAGGAGCTTGCGCACGGTACCGTTCATGACGGCGACGCCTTGCGGAGCATTGCTTGGCATCATGGTCCGTGGCGGGCCATGGACCATCGGCGGCGGCGCGGCGCCCTGCGGGTGGTAGTTCATCCTTCCTTGGCCCTCGACTCCAAATGACCGACGGCCACGACCAGCTGCGTCACTTCCTAAAGACCACGTGGTCGTCCGGATGGATCCCTCGCCCAATCTGGCGACGCACTGAACAAACGCAACTTTTCAGCCAATCGTATCGCGCCCATTGCCCAAATAGAACGCGTTCTCTCCAATCAAAATGCGTGACGACCAAAATGTGTAGGAGCTCCTGTGCAAACCACTGCTCGTTTGCTGCATCGTATCCGTATGGCGCTAGTAGAGACGCGATCGAGCCTGTGGACCTTGGACCTTGGGCGATGGCGGGTATGTCTCCAGCCGCTTGGGCTGCCCAAGGGCGAGCAAGCGAGGACGCCTGCTATTCGGAGATGCGACGGTGTCGGTGGCGGTGGGTACCATATTTTATTATTTATTGCTGTGCAATTATTATTATTATATGACCAACTGTTGGCACCTTGTTCAAGTGGGATTGTAATGTTGCGGTCGTGGGTGCGAGGCTGACTAAAAAGACCCAACAAGATCTCGGTCATGGCCGACGTCGTGCTGCGCCGTGGCGAGCTCGTGTACCGACGCGATGGCCACGCCGAGTGGCAGCGTTGCTGGGTCAAGATGTACGCTGACCGCGTGGTCGACCACACGCAGGCTCTCTGGCTCGCGACCAAGCAAGTCGTGCGCGTTGAGCCTGGCCTCGGCGGCCCGAGCCCGTGGGTGTTTCGCATTACCGTCGCTGGCAGCGCCGCCATCGACGCCTGCGTGGCCTCACAAGACGAGCGCGATGGCTGGATCCGGTGCCTCGTGGATGCCAAGCGCGCGTACCTCGCGGAGAATGGCAAGCTTCTCTTCCAAGCGGCGCACTCGCCGATGCCGGACCCGCCAGCCTTTGTGCGGTTTGCCGACAGCGACTCGGAAGCGCACTCGTCGGCCGACGACGACAGCCTCTCGGAGACGGACGATCTGCCCGCGAGCCTCAAGAAACTCGTCGTAGGGCCCAAGGTAGCTTCCTCCACACTCAGTTTCACCCATATACATGCGCCCAGCGCCCTGTGCGGGACCGGCCGCGCATTCTGACGATCGTGCACGTCGAGATGGAGACGAGGGCGCACGGCCGGTACGACGCTCTTTCTGGCATTGGGAAGCATTCACATGCGCGGATATAGCTTCGTCGCACCCATTGCGCTCGACGACGACAGCTTGAGAACCACGCACGTCGATGCGCTCAAGAAGGAGGCACTCGGGAAGCTCAAGCACAAGATTGTACACAGCCTCGACGTACGTTCCGTCTGTCGCCGTGAACTGACGCAGCGCAGGCGGACGTGATCGCCGCCGACGCGACACTGCGCGACCTCACCCAAGACGACGCCACCTCGTTCGTGCTCGTCTTGCCGGATGCGATACGCGGTCGGTCGACCATGAGGAATGTATCAAGTTGATGCAAACACCCTGTTGTTCTAGACGTGTGGCTGCGCAACGAAGATAAACCGCTGTGCTACTACCTCGACATGAAGCTCGAGACTGCGTCCGAGACGGTGCATCTCTCGCTCCGCCCCGTGCAAGCCATGCCGCCGCCACCGCTCCAGGTCGAGATCACGGGCAACGCCAACAAGGTCAGCGACCTCTCGCAAAAGCTCTACACGGTATGCCGTCAACCCTAATCTTCCTCGCCCGACTATGTATACATTGCGTAGACGTACACGATCCAAGTCGAGTACAACGACGTCAAGTGGACAGTCGTCCACCGGTTTCAGGACTTTCTCGCGCTGGATGACGCAATCAAAAATGACGTGGCGCCCTACCGCGCGTACCTTCCGCCCCTGCCAAAGAAGAAGGCGATCACGCCCAAGAAAGGCTCGTTCGTCAGCAAGCGCCAGCGCAAGCTGCAGGCGTACCTCCAAGACGTTGTCGCGCTGCCCGGCCTCGCACAAAACGTCCACGTCATGACGTTTCTCGGTGGTATTATCTCTGCCTCGATGCCTTCTACTTTCTTCGTCGGCGCGCGTTGTAGTGGTCTCGATGGCCCGGAACCGCGAGGTTGTCCGAAGCGTCTTGCATGTCTCGGCCGTCCACGCGTGCTTGAGCTACGGCGACATTATCCTCTTCAAGACGCGCTTTGGTGCGAGCAAAGTGCAGCGCAAGGTCGTCTTGTGTCGCTTCCACGGCCGATCACTCACATGTCTCTTGGTATAGGTAGCGTCGCCGGTCGCACCAAGCTGGCACCGCATGCGTGTACGTAGATTACCGGTGCGCGGTACGACCACGCCGCGATCGTTGTGCCAGGGTCGACGCCGCCGCTGCTCTCGCTCCTCGAGGCGACTGGCGAAGGCATCCAAGTCTATGCGCTCGTGAGCGTTTAGTCACAGATTGAACTAGGAGAGTCATGCTCAACTAAATAGAAAGCGCGACTGCAGGCGTACGGGCGCGAGGTCACAAACGCCATTGTCGCGCGCCGGGTGCTCGCGCATCGGTCGCCGACGACGCTCGCCAAGATCCAAGAGTTTGTGCTCGGCGTCGAAGGCAACGCGTACAGCATCTTTGGCATCCTCAACCGGTCCAAAGTCGAAAAGGAAGAGAAAACGACCAAATACTTTTGCTCCGAGCTCGTCGCGGCCGCGCTCATGCACGTGGGGTGGCTCCAGAAGGACGTGCCACCGAGCTTTTACTGGCCCGGCAACTTTGAAGAAGGCGGTGAGCTCGAGCGCCACATTCTTCCGGGCGTCACGCTTGGCCCCGAGCTCGCCCTCGACTGTAAATTTCTCGAAGTCGGTCGTGCACAGTAATTTCAACTTGTCGCGACAAGAACTTGACGAGCTTTCAACATGGATAGCTTGCATGAATAACGTTGTTGTTGATGAGGCACATGGTCACGGGCAGTGATGTGCTTGTGTTGCTGATGCGTCCCATTACGTGTACCTCAAGCAACCTCCATCGTCTCGCTCTGACGTCACTTGTCAAACGCAAACATACACTGACTGACTGATTGACTACTGACTGACTGACTGACTGACTGATTGACGGATTGACTGACTGACGGATTGACTGACTGACTGTTTGACTGACTGACTGATTGACTGACTGACTGATTGGCCGACTGAATAAGAGTATTAGCTACCAAAGGCTTCGCGACGCTAGGTGGCCCACTGCGTCTCGCCCGTGATGCTATTGTAGTAGTACGTTTGGCCAGTCGTCTCATCGACAGCCGTCATCCATGGGTCGTCGTCATTGCTCGCGCCGTGGGCAATGCCTTGGTTAACATAGGCGTAATCGGCCGACTGGAGGTACTCGTTGTACATCTGCGGGTCCTCGACCATGCCGCCGGCTTGCTGCTGCAGCATCGCGAGAACGAGCGCGCTCTGCTTCTCGTTGGCTTGCTGCCGCTTGTACGTGCCCATGTCGATCCACGCGTGGGCCGCCTTCTTGCCTTTGGCGTGGATGATGTTGTAGCAGCCGAGGCAGTACGGGTCGCCGCACGCGTCGCACCACCGCGTCGCCTTGAGCTTCTCGCACTCGACGCATTTCGTGGGCCCCATCGCCGTCCACGTGTGGAGCGCTCGCTTCCCACCACCGTGCGTCCGGTCATAACATGCGTCGCAAAACACGTCTTCGCACTGCGTGCAGCGACGTGACGCGTCGGCGTTGTCACACTCGACGCAAAGCGCATCATCGAGCTCGGCCTCCTCGGCCGCGCGCTGCAATTCGAGCTCGAGGAGCGCTTGGGCTTCTTGGGCCGCGGCTTCCTGCGCCGCGATCGCGGGATCTAAAAGGACGCGGCCGTCCTGGAGCACGAGGTCGCGGCCGTCGGCCTTGGTGTACCCGCCTTCGGGTGGCTCCCAGATCGCGTCGCCCGTCTAGACACCGCGTTGCAACCGAACCGCAGACGAGATTTCGAGCGTACGCTGTTGTGGTAGAAGAAGAAGGCGCCCGCATCGTCGGACCAAAACTGCGTCCACTCGCGCGCCTGCGCCACAAATTTCTCGAGGCGAGCGGCTTTCTGCGCTGCCACGACCCGCGCGGCCTGGCGCTGGCGATACAGCGCCTGGATGCGCGTGGCCGCTTTTGCTTGGCGGCTACGCACGGCTGCACGCGCTTCCGATTGAAACTGCGTCGCGAGCCGACCGCTATACAAGCGATTGTGTTCTCAACATCGCTGACAAGGAGGCGGTACCGATGCCCGCGGTACACGGCTTGGAGCTTGAGCGCAGATGCGTGCTGGAGCTGCAGGTGCAGTCGCCGGCGCTCGCGCATCTCGCGCACATAGAGCCGGGCTGCAAACCCGCGGTAGATGCGCTAGCCATTGCCGTCATTGGGGCTTTGCGCCAGGACCCAAATCGGTACCTGGATACGAATGACGTGGCGCCGCTGCTCGCGCTCGATCATGGCGCGAATGTACTTGACCTTGTGCAGTCGCCCGCGGTACCGTCGCTGGAGGATACGCGCGGCTGCGACCCGTGTTCGGTGCACATGGATGGCGCGGGCGCGGGCCCGCGCTTGACGGCCACGCGCCAGCGCCTGTATCTGGCGCGCGGCGCGGAATTGAGCCCGCGCCGCCTGCGCCGCATGGAGTGATTTGCGCAGTAGAAAGCCCCGCGCCCGGGCCTGCAGCGCCGTCGCGGCCATGTTCTCGCGCATCGTGCGCACGAGCTGCTTGGAGTTCGCGCGCGCGTAGGCGCCGCGGGCAAAGGCCTGGATCTTGCACGCTGCGTGGTGTCGCTTGCGGCGCTTGCGCTCGGCGCGGAAGGCGTTGTAGAGGAACCGGCTGTGGTAGTTGCTACTCATATGCATAAGAAGTGAAGTGATCGAAGGTGTATGCTGTACCGCCACGCGCGTTGCAGGACGAGGACGGCGTCAGCTTCCTGTTCGGCTTGGAGCTGCGCGTCTTCGGCGTGTAGCACGGCGATCCACGTTGCCCACGCGTTGGCGACGCGACGCCGCGTCCAATTGGTGAAGAAGAGGTCGAGGCGGCGGGAGCCTTTGAACTGAAGGAGCACCGTACGGGCTTGCTGCTGCTTGAGGAACGCCGAGACCGTCACCCACCTAGCCCCTCCCATTAAGCCTTGGCGGCAACGATGGAATAGCGACCGGACGAACGCAGCTTGCATCTTGGCGTGGAGCAGCTGTGTGCAGATGGCGTTGATCTTGGCGAGCCCCCACTTTTTCACAAAGAGCTAGACGGCGCGATGTAAAGCGTGTTGAACGACAAGACGAAGTGACAGACCTCGCCGCGGATGCTCTGGACGGGGCAGATTTGCTGAGCGTGCACGAGGTCCTGCTTGACGAGCGTTGTGAACGACTGCACCCGTCGCAAGGCGGCTGTGAGCTCACTCTGCAGCGTCTCGCGCGTCTCACGGCCACGGCGCTTGTGCTTGTGCAGCAGCGGCAACTTGGCTCGCTGGCGTCGCGCCACTGTCATAGCCTTGGACACGATCGGACTCGGTGAGGACGAGGACAAGGACGCAGTTTGCTCGAGCGCATCAAACTCTTCGGGCGTCAACCCAAGCGCCTCCATCGCTGCCGCGCGCTCGTCGTCTGCGAGTACGTGCGACGGCGTCTCGCTGTCATCAGCAACGTCACTGGCTGCAAGGACGGACGGCGGTGCGCTTGGTGTTACTGCGCGATGCACGGGTGGCAGTCGGAACACTGGTAGAACGTGCGCGCCCTTGTGAAGCCCGACCTCGAACGGCGTGTCGCCCGTGTTGGTCAAGATCGGAAGCATGTCCAGTCGGTCTTTCACGGGCAGCTCATGCTGGTTGGTCGACGGCTTCCGCCGCCTGTCTTTGTCTTTGAGCTTCATCTCGGTTTCGAGCTTGAGGCGCGTGCGGTCGAGCTCATCTAAGAGGCGTAATTCATGGTCGGTGAGCCGCGCAATGAGGTCCGTATGGGGCGTCGGCAGCGCCGGTGCGATAGCAACTGGCGATGGCACCTCGGGCGTTGGCTCCCGGGGTGGCTTGACGCCCGAGAGGCGGCCGCCAAAGAGCATCATCGTCGCATGCAACTTTCAAGCTGAAACGGGCTACGGTCAACACTAAATCCGTCGACCGCCAAATACGTTCATGATGTATCACATGTTGGTAGCAGCAGTCCAGCCATCAAATGCCTTTTGCCCTGGCTAGCGTACACCGTCGCTACGGAAGCACCTTTGCTCATGGTGACATGGTGTCGTCAAGCAGCATGCTACTAGAATATTTTGGCCTATGGATCTAGTCGCAGGAGTAGTCGCAGCTACCGTAGTTGTTGAACAAAGAGGAGTCACGTCGTAGTCGAGAATCGAGCGTTCAGCCACTATAGCTAATACGTTGCCTGGCAGGGACGGTCCAGCATGTGCAGGTCGATGCTCGAAACGCCTACGTGCCCGTGGATTGGTCAAAATACAGCGTCATTTCAGTCACGTTGCCGTCCGATTGGCCCAGGACGGAGCGTTTGCGCCAATGGCCTTGCGCGAATCCACTTTAGATCGCTAATTTTAGGTCACTCGCACAACCGCGATGCCGGTGACGATCACGGAGGCGGACCTGGCGCGGATCCTGCGCAATGTGTCCGAGCCCGAGGTGACCAACCGCGAGGCGAAGCGCGCGCAGCTGCGCGAGCTCTCTCAGACGCGCACCAACAAGTGGCCCAACACGCTCGAGGCCATGCGGCGCAAGAAGGAGAACTGGAAAAAGGACAAGGAAGACCGCGAAGAGGACGAGCGCCGCAAGGTCGACATGGAAGAGGCGCGCCTTCAGATAGAAGCGCGGACGCGCCAGATCGAGCGCGCCAACCGGCTCTTGTACGAGCAAACCGACAAGATGAAGACGCTGCGGTCGAAAGAGCTGCTCAATGATGTGCTCGCCGACCGTGAGTTTCAACTCGCTGAGAAAGCGGCGCTCGCTGCCATGGACAAGCGCGTCGAAGACCAATGGATCGCGCTCGAGCGCACGCAGCTCGCAGACGCGGACGCCAAGAAGGCGGCCGACGAGGCCCGGCGCCACGCCCAGTCGCTCGCGCTGGCGGCCATCCAGAAGACCCAGCTCGACGAGTACAAAACCAACTTTATCGCGACGCTCCGCGAAGAAAAGCGAGACGGCGAGCGGATCAAGGCCAAGGCCGAGCAGGACAACCGCGACGAAGACGAGGCCGAGGCGGCGCGGAAGCGCAAGTCGAAACAAGCTTCCGAAGACACGCGACTCGCCAACGAGCGCCTCAAGGCATTGCGGGCGCGGGAAAAGGAGCTCGAGTACCAAGAGGACCTCAAGCGCGAAGAAGACGCGCAGAAGAAGGAGGCGCGAGTCGCCAAGCGCGAGGCGTTGCAGCGCCAAAAAGAGGAGCGCAAGACGGCGCAAAAGATGCGGATGATCGACCTCGTACGTTTCTTAAATTTCACGATAGACCTCTCGAAAGATCCTTGTAGGCGACGGCGAACTTGCTCAAGGTCGAGCAAAAGTCCGAGGCGCGGCTCGAAAACCAGAAGAAGGAGGTGCGACTCAAGGAAGACACGGAGCTCAAGCACCGAGCCGACCGCCGCGCTGCGCAGAAGCGCGCCATCGACCACAGCCGCGCGCACCAGCTGAGCGAGAAGGCGCGGGCCAAAGAGGAGGAGCGCGCGGCCGCAAAAGAGCAAATGATGCAGTGGGCCGAGTACAACCGCAGTGTCGAGCAAGCGTTGGTTCACGAAGAGAACGAGCGCCGACTGGACAACATGAAGCTCGCAGCGCTGCAGCAGACGCAGGCGCACGCCAAGCGGAGCCTCGACATGGTACCTCCCGCTACCTACACCATGCCACATAGCGTAATTGCTATGCTAGGAGGAGCGGGCGGCGCAGATTTTGGCCGAAGAAACCATCAAGATCTCCCAGTCGACCGAGCAAGAGCTCTATACGCAGTACGCGTCACAGGTGCTTGCGGCCGCCGAAGCCAGAGGCGTCAAGAATACCTTCCCACTCAAGCAAGCGATGAAGGCCAAGAACATCGACCTCCTCCCGGCCGGCGGGTTTCGTATATAAGCTAAGGTCCGACTCGTTGTGTGCAAAATGCTTGGTATACCCATTCGGGGAGCACATGTGACCGTGTGCTGCGTGGTGGAACCAAGCCAATACGGCTCTACCCTTGGCAGCCGAGCTCGCACTTGTCCTTCGAACCTCTCGACTGCGTCAGTCGCGTGAAGCCGATCAGCCCGTGGTTCGATACCGACTGGAGCAACATATTAGTACGGAAATACCGACGGACCGACTGGAGCAACATATTAGTATGGAAATACCGACGGGAGCGGCTGCGCTAGCAAAGTCTCGACAAAGTCGCGCATGCTCTTGAGTGCATCAAACCAGTCGCTCCACTTGTCCATGTCGGCAGCGAGGTCGGGCTCCTAGTCACGAGTAGTTATAGCCGCGTCCATAGTCGTTGTGCTGCGTACTTCCATGAGGTAGACGCCGACACCGTCTTGCTGGACGAGGGCAAAGCCCATCGCAAGGAGCGCGTCGCGGCCGCCAGGAAACTGCCCGACGTCGGCCATGAAGAACGGGTTCGACTCTTTGATCTGGCGAAACACAGCATTGTCCGGCGCGCTGCAAATGTGCTGGAGAAACACATGCAGCGTGCTTAGCGTCTGGCGCCATTGTGCACTCGCGTTCGGCAGCTCCCGAATGTGGGCATGCAGCGTCGCCAACGCAGGCGTGAGACCGTCGAGACCGACGACAACGCGCTTCTGCAGCGCGGCAAGCGCCGCCCGCTCCGCTTCGATCCGCGCCTCCTCCTCGGCCGCCTTGCGCGCGCGCTCGTCGCGAACCTTTTGAGCAGCGATCGCGAGGCGCTCGACCTCGCGCGCCTTGGCCGCAGCCTCGGCTTGGATGCGCTCTTGTTCGGCCTCGTGGGCGAGCGCAGCCGCCTTCGCCGCAGCGTCGAGGGCTTCGCGAGCTGCCTCGTCGGCGCGGCGCTGCTCGTCGAGGCGGCGCTGCTCGAGGCGCTCGGCCATCGCGACGCCATCGGTCTCGACGTCGTCGCGGATCTCGACCAGTTGCCCGCGTAGCGCTTCGACGCGCGCATGCACTGCTCGGATCTAACGCCGACATCAGAGGACCGATCGAAACATGCTCGTGCGGCGACCTTGTCTTGCATGACCGGGCCGTACCGTGGCTCGTTTGTCACTGGGTCGGCCCACGCCAGCCGCTCCATAAACTTGTCCATCTTGATACCAATGTCGTCGTCAAGAAGGCGTAGCAGCGCATGGAGTGCAGCGCGTTGGGCAACGCGGGCCTCTTCGGCGGCGTCCGCTGTCGTCCGCGAGGCCACGAGGTCCCGCAGGCGCACCTCGGCATCGTCGACGGTGGTCGTCAGCCGTTTTAGCTCCATTGTGCCAATTCAAAATTCCGTTTAATGGCTGTATATATACCGTCTTTTTCAAAAATACGAAATCAAACGGTACAGTCCATGTACCGCCTCCACCACTTTGCACATTCGCTGCGCTCGCTTGGACGAAGCGCAAGAAGAGCAAAGTACCCCATCATGGTACGACGATCTCTCTACTATATACATGCAACCAACTGCATCGAATACTGCGTAATGGCAAGGACATGTACTAAGAATGGTGTCTTATCCCCTTGGTTGATGTCGCCACTTCGATCACCCTTGGCGGCGCACCACCGGCGTCGCGTCGATTTGCTGCACACTGGCGAGCGCACCTTGGATCTTGAGACGGTACTCAAAGTCCCTACGCATACTCTCGTGTCGAGTCCGACGGCGCGTCGTAGGTCGTACGATGCGAGCGGGTTGCGCTCGAGGTAGAGTGTCTCGAGCTTGGAGTTGGACGCCAAGTGCTGAATGTCGTCAAACGAGCTGATCTCGTTGTCGTTGAGCCAGAGGTCTTCGAGGGCCACGTTCGCACCCATGGGCGGGATGCTCTTGATGCGGTTGGCGCCCACGTCGAGGATCGTGAGCTTGGTCTACGCAGTGCTCTGTGGCATCGCATGACAGCAAAGATGCGTACGAGATGACCAAGGTTCGCGAGCGCCTCGATACCATTGTGGCTCAGATAGAGCTCTTCGAGAGCGACGTTGGCGCTCAAGTTGTCGATCGCGAGCAGCCGGTTGCTCTGGATGCTCATGACGCGGAGCTTGGCGAGCGCATCGAGGCCCTACGTCCCGATCAGCAGCAGACGCGTCCGTGCTCGTGTACCTGAATCGCCGTGATCTTGTTCTTTCCGAGCCAGAGCTGCTCGAGGTTCTCGAGGCCCTCGAGGCCTTCGATCGTGCGGATGCGGTTGGCGCCGAGGTCGAGCTTGACGAGCGTGCGCAGGTTGGCAATGCCGGTGATGTGCGTGAGCTTGTTGTTGGCCACGTACAGCTCCTCCAGCTGCGTCAAGTGGCTAAGGTCGGGGATGGACCGGATCTCGTTGAACGAGAGGTCGAGCACTATGAGGCCAGATGCCTGGTGACGATCGAGGTCAGGTGCAAAGGTCGTCGTACCGCGCAACTTGACGAGCTTCTCGAGACCCACCATCTTCTTGATCTGGTTGTCGTACAGCTCGAGATGCGTGAGGTTCACGAGCGACTCGATGCCCGTCATCTTGTAGAGCAAGTTGGACCGCACGTGCAGCTCCTACGACAACATGACGTCGACGCACGCAAGCCGACGCTGCGTACGCGCAGCTGGACCATGGCCTCGAGACCGTCGAGCACGCGCGCCTTGAGGCCGGCCGTGCCCACATGGTAGATCTCCTATCCGCGGTGCCATGAGCAAGCAGCGATGCGCGAGAATGGCAGCGCACCTCGTCGTCGGGCCGGAACTCGACGCACTCTGTCAGCGGTAGCTCCTTCGTCTCGCTCTCGTCGTGCGCCTCAACCGGCTTGGGGATCGTCTCTTCCACGACGCGCGCCACGCGCGGGGCTGGCGGCGCCACAGCCAACGCGCTTGTCTCCGGCGTCGAGCTCATGGCAGCAATCGAACTTATCAAATGATCTCGAACTTAACGTGGTAACGTCGTTGGCCATACAAACTGCAAGAGGAATTTCGTCGACAGTGAGTGCTGTCGCCGCCACCACCACGTGACGATGCTAGCGCAGGTAACCAGGACCAAGTCGGCGTCTAGTGCACCACTGCGTTGGCTTGCGGCACGGAGGAGCCTTCCAGTTGCACACTCCAAAGACTCCACCTCACCCGTCCCCAAGCCCTAGTCGATTTGACAGCTCATCACCAGTGGTGTGAGACCGGGTCTCAGTATACGTGGATGCTCCTATATCCTGCTGTAAAGAAATCATTTTGGAGTCGGCAAAGATATAGGCTGCTACTTGCTTCTTGGCCTGAGCGAGGGCAGAAGTCGATGACGGTCGTCTCTGCATTGAAAAGGGTTGGAGAAGATTCCCATATTTCAAGTAGACTCCAACGTCTGATTCACGTCTGCTTTTACATGTAGAGCATGTGACCTCGGGCGTACCACTCGATGGTGTCGATGAGCTCGGGGTCTCGGATGGTCTCGGTCGCGATCTGCAGGAACCGGAGCTTTGGGAGCGAGTACGTGATCTCGTGCACGCTCTCGAGCCGGTCGATCTCGGCTTCAAACGAGTCGACAGCGCTTGTCGGCGTCGAGGCGCGACCACAGAGCAGTCGGAGGAGGTCCAAGAGCTGCAAGTACGGCGCTTTATCCTACATTCGCGTTACATTGTATTCGCCACCGAGTCCTCGCACCTTGCCGTGCTGGCTCGCGACTTGGTCAAAGAACCGACGCGCTGTCTCCATCGCAAGCGGCGCGCTCTCACTCACGGCGTTGGTTCCTGGCGTCGTGGGCTCGCCGCAGGTTGTCTGTTGGAGAAACTGTTGAATGACCACTTGGGCCGCTTCGAAGCGGTCCGTCTTCTTGCGTGTCGACGCTTCAATGTGCTTTGCCGACGTGCCCCGCACCGAGGCTTGAAGGTACCGCTTCGTCCCATCAAAGCGCGGGTTGGTCGTCGGGTCTGGCACGCGCATCGCGTCCTTGAGCTCCACCAGTTGACGCACACACGAGCGCGAGACGCGGCGGGACTGCTGCCGCACCGACTTGGCGAGCGGCGCGACGCGAACTTGCACCTTGTGCGAAAACGCGACGAGGTCCTGGACCTCTTGCGTTGCCAAGAGCTGGGCCTTCTTGGCAGCCAGCCTTGTCGCCAGAAGCTCCGTCATCTTCTCTTTGGTTTCAGCCATGTACTGGAGAGGCACGGTGACCAAGGCGCGCGCGACCTTCTCCCCGAGGCTGGGACCATCGTCGTCATCGTCGTCGTCGTCGTCCTCATTGTCCGAGCCAGCTTTGCCGCGCCCGCTCGTGTCAACCTCGGGCTCAGTTGGCGCTGGTGGTGGGAGCGACTCGGTCGATGCCCGCTCGGGCACCTTGGGTCGGTGGTCCACGCCATAGAGCAGCTCGGCGACCTTCTTGGTCTGGTCAAGCAGCGACTGTCGCCGGCGCTCCGTGCGCGTCGGAGCCGACGGTGTTAGCGTCGGGTCACCGCGCGCAATGCCGATCTCCAAGCGCAGAATCGCGAGCCAGAGCACACAGTCGGCGGCGGACGCGGCGCTCACGAGCAGCGTCGTTGACGGCAGCGCCGTCGGCGCCCCCGCGACGAGCGCACGAGTCGGTGGCAAGGGCGTGTACTCGATGTAAAAGCAGTTGGGCACGTCGTCCTCGAAATGAGCATTGTAGTCGTGAACCAAGTTGACGGAACATGCGCGGAGCGGCCACGCGATCAGCGGTAACGACGAAGCGTCGGCTGGCGCGAGCGCGTCGACAGTCCAGTTGCCGTCGGCGACGCGGCAGCGCCGGGGCACCCATTGCTACATTGTAGAATATTGCTACGCGTTCTCCGACGAGATGCAGTACCGAGACGGGCGTCGATGTATGGACGCGCAAAATACCGTCTTTGCAAATCGGCACGCGGAACGTGAGCTTCACAGGCCGGGACTTGGTGCGCAGCGCATGCCACATGACATCGAACGCTTGGTGCTTGCCGCTCTCGTCCTTGAGCCGCACGAGGACACTATGTTGCATCGTTTGATAACAGCCCGCAGGACAAACTGCACTTGAATGTACCTGCCCCGGGGCACGTGGTCCAAGGTGTTGCAGGTGACGATGCGCTCGTGCCACTGCTCGAGCAGGAGCTCGAGGCGCTCGTGGGCGTGCACCGTCACGTGCACGTACCCCGTTGTCTGCAGCAGCGCGTGTATGTCGCGCTCAAACGCCAAAGACGGCGCGTCTTTGGCGTCGGACCGCGCCGTTGCCAAGCGCCGAAGCCACGTGTCCTTCTCGGTCGCGCTGAATGCTGCGACGTACACGTCGGGCGCACCAAATCTAATTTTTGCATTCAGTCAATGTACGATAGACAATATGTGGTTGTTTACCGCTGGATCGTAAAAGCATGAGCGCGGGCCGTCGGTGTCGACGGCAGGACCTTGAGGATCATCTCGAGGTAGATCTTGCTCTTGGCGCCCATACGTTTCTCATTCGCCTTGAGGATGACGACGCCGTTCTGCAGCGTACAGTAGAGTCGACGCCAGTGTTTGGTCGCGGCGCTGCGCACGTCCTACATGTTTAGTTGGTTGGTTTTGCAACGCGAGACAACTTGTCCGACCACGTAGCCGGCAAACTCGGATGCCTTTAGGTGCCGGTGCTGGAGAACCTTGTGGCGCAAGATGCGCACTTCGAGCTCGGTCATCCACTGCTGCTTCTCTTCGTCGGTCTCGGCAGCGAACGTCAGCGTCGTGTGGGCCGTCGCGATCCCAAAGACAAAGGCGTGCACTTTGGTCGGCGGGAGGTCCTGCAAGTACGCGTGCGCAGTCAGGCGAACGTGATTGCGCACGAATTTCGCGCCCGGCGCTGCGGTGGCGTAGCTTACACACGTCTCGCCGAGCTCCACGTGGCGCTTCGTCCACGGCTTCCACGGGTACTTGTCCGACTTTTTCAGCAAAATGCTGCGCAGCACAAACGGAAACTGCGCGAGCGTCGCCTGAAGATGCGTGAGCCAAGCGCTCATGTCGGCGTGGCTCTTGGCCGTGAGCACCAAGCTCTGCCCGTCGGTCCTATGCGCGATGCAGGATAATGGAGACATTAAGGAGCGTTGTACGTGATGCAAAACGTGTGGGGCGGCAGGCCAGGCCACATTTCGCTGCACAGTGCGACCTCGGTTGACCGGTTGAATGCAAACGACCCGCTGATCGGGAGTTTAAACTTGGGGCGCGGGTCCACGAGGTAGTAGTCCATCCGAGATGGCGTTAGCACAAAGAAGAGCCGCATCGGCGCCAAGTGCAGTTCGGGGGCCGATGGCGCCGCAAACTTGACGCCGAGCATCTCGAGGAGCGACGGGTCGTTGTACTGCGCGTTGATATCCTTGGTCGACTTGGCGCGCGGTGCATGGCCGCGGAGTAGAAAGCCCGAGTAAAAGTCGTCGCGCATCGTCCGACGCGATAGCTCCGAGCTGGAAAACGCGCCAAAGATAGCGTTCCGGCCGTTATGACGTGGCACCACGAGACGCGGTCGAGTCCTTGGAAGTGCAAAGTCACGGCTGCAAGTCCAATACAAGGCACTCGGTGTGGATGGGAATGTACTAAATACCTACTAAACGACAGACTAGAGGGCATTCGGCGTCAGCCTTGCGGACCGAGGCTTTCAGAACGTGGCGGGACAAGTATCCAGCTTGAGCATCCAGCTGAAGCGCGGACTGCTGAGATGGCACTGGCTCACGCGCAGATCTCGCCGGCAGAGTCAGCGTGACACGCGAAAAGACACGCGGGGTGTGAAAGACGCGACTGCGTCCAGAAGCCAACGCGTCCAAATGTGTCCTTCCTACGAGGTACAGTCCACGCCATAATGGATGGTTACCATGGATAGCCATCATCTCGAATTATTAGAACAACCTGGCGATGATCACGTGTGCGAAAATTGTCGCTACCGTGCACAAGTTGTCTACTAAAACTCCTTGAATTTGCCATCCAGATTTTCAGATGATGCCCCTCACAGCAAACTTGCCAACGCGTGATTGGCTCGTACATGTACAAGCACGGTCCAGTCATCGTCCCACACGTGTCGACGACGTAATATGCGCGTCCATAAGCGGTTGCCGTGCACCGTAGGACATCGTAAGGACCCCTTGTTTCATCAGCCCACCACAGGACCGCGCTAACAACTAGAGCCACCAACCCTTGGCCATCTCGAATGGAAGGCTCGACCAGATCGGCTGTGCGAGTCGCATCTTTCTCTACATTCGCTTACATTAGTCAGCTAGTTAGTCGCTACTCTCCCAACGACACGACGTGTGCGTAATGTCATTCTCACTGGGCGTGCTGCGATTGAAGCCAACGGCCTTCGAATGGCACATTGCTCGGCGCTTCGTTCAGTCCACGAGCAGCATGTCGTTCAGGTCGCCGATCCTCGGGGCTTGCCCGTGATAGCCTTGCCCGACGGTCGCCACGCTGATCGATGGCATATACACATCACTTCCGCCAATCTCCCGCCGCGTCCATGAAGCGAATGCTGTCAACCTCATGCGTCCACCTCGTCTCTTTACACTGCTCGTTCGATGCATTTGCTCTTTTCCTTGCGGCGCGAGCGTGGAACGCCACGTGCTCGGTTGATTGGGATGGAGGCCATGTCCCTCCGGTCTCCACTTGGGCGGTTGCCGCGTCACCGCGCCGAGAGGTTGGTAGATGTAATGCCTTCCATTCGTCCTGTCCCACGGTCGACTTTGCCAGCATGATCACGGGAACGTAACAGCCGCCGCCGAGAGACTCCCTTACAACACGACGCATTTATTGAATATTGGCCCATATTCCCAATATTCGTAGAGCCAGTCCGTATGTACAACGGCGACAATCGCATTTGGAGGGAGAGTCGGGCCTGAAATATCAGCGAGACACGGGCAGCAGAACCATGCGCCCAGAGCCGACGCTGCCTCCTCGCCGGCCATTCTTCATAATGCAGGCTCCGCCACGCCAGGGCGCCAACGTCCTCTCCTTCATCGGCGAGGACGAGGTTAAGGAGCCGCGGCCCGTGACGGCCCACCACACGTATACGCACCTCACAACGCCCGAGTACAACGTGGTCACGATCGGCGGGCCCGAGGCCCGCGTGAGCTTGCACCGGAAAGGCCATCGCAGCTCCAAGGTTGACATGATGCTGCGGTCGTCGGCGGTCGCGACGCGCCTCTCGCGCATCTCGATGGCGTCGTCGTACATGCCATCGATGAGCGAGATGTCGTCGACGCGGGGCGGCGACGCCTTGCGCACGCCCATGATGGAAGACCGGTCGAGCAACATCTTTGACAGCGCGCGTGGCACGAACGCGGCGCCGGCCGACCCGCGCTACAAGCTGCAGGCGCTGAAGGACGTGCTCAATGGCATCGCCGACAAGAACGGCATGGTCGACCGCGCGACGTTCACAGCGACCTTTGACGTTGGCTACCACGACTACATGGCGACCATGCAAAACACGGAAGACGACGACGACGTGTCCATGATGGAAAGCGTCGACACGATCGACACCAAGGCGCTGCTCGTCGACGCCTGTATGGAGCTCGACCTCGACCTCGAAGAGAAGCTGCGGTTCATTTTCGAGCTCTTTGATCCGGGCCACACGGAGGCCATCACACAGCCGCAGGTCGCGCGCCTCCTCGAAGCCAACTTTGCGCAGTTCAAGCTCCACGCGGTCGGTGCCAACTTTAGCGAAATGGCGCGCGTTCTCTTTGAGAAGGCCAACGCCGTCGACGACATCATGGGCTACGACCAGTTCCGCGCAGTCTTTCTCCCGCTGCTCCAAGCCGCCAACGACGCTGACGCCGACGACGAGGTCGCGGCCTACGGCACCAACGTCGTGCCCATGCCTCGGACGGGCTTGGCGCCGATCTGGGAAAAGCACTCGCTGCGCATTCTCTGGCTCATGTTGTACTTTCTTTTGAACGCAATCGCGTTTGTGGCCAAATGGTCGGCCTACAAGTTTGACCCGGCGCTCGGGTACGGCCTCCAGATCGCCCGCGGCTGCGCCCAAGTCGTCATGCTCAACTTCCTCTTCGTGCTGCTGCCCATGTGCCGCAGCATCATCCAAGTCATGAAGCGGTCGTCGCTCCTCTGGCAGCTCATCCCGTTCGACGACAACATTGCGTTCCACAAGATCACGGGCTCGGTGCTGCTCGTCGCAGGCCTCGTCCACACAGGCGCCCACGTCTCCAACGAGATCATGTTGTACCTTGTCGCGACGCCCGATGAGATTGCGCGGTCGATCTTCGTTCAGCGCAACTGCAGCCTCTTTGCGAACGGGACGCTACCGCCCTTCTCGACCATGCTCGTCCAGCTCCCGGTGCTCACGGGCGTCGTGCTGCTCTTGATCACGCTCGTGGCGTTCCCGCTGGCCGCGATTCCCCGGTTCCGTCAAGGCAAGTTCAACCTTTTTTGGTATTCGCACATGCTCTTCTTACCGTTCCTCGTCATTGGCTGCTTCCACGGTGCGACGTCGTGGCTCTCCAAGGCCCAGGCCGAGTACTGGATCCTCCCGCCCTTCCTCATCTACCTCGTTGAGCGCCGGCTCCGGTACACCAAGCTCTTCACCGTCCCGCTCAAGATCATGCGCGCGCAAATGTACGACGGGACGGTCGCCTTGTACATTGAGAAGCCAAAGCGCTTCGTGTACCGCCCCGGCATGTACATCTTCCTCAACGTGCCGACCATCTCGGGCTTTGAGTGGCACCCGTTTACGATCTCGTCGGCGCCGGGCGACCAGTACCTCGGCGTGCACATTCGCGACGCTGGCGACTGGACGCATGCGCTGCACGAGCTCGTCAAGAAGGCGGCGATCACCAAGGCGTATCCGAGCGTGTACGTCGACGGGCCGGTCGGCGCTCCCACCCAAGACTACCACCGGTTCAAGACGATCGTCATGATTGGCGGAGGCATTGGCGTGACGCCGTTCGCGTCGATTCTCAAGGACGTCGTGCACCTCTGGGACGACTACAAGTGCCGCAACTGCCACTGCGTCCGCCACCCGTCGTCGTTCAAGATTCAGAAAATGTACTTTCACTGGACGACGCGCGGCCAAGAGTCGCTCGGCTGGTTCCAAGAGACGATGAACGACATTGCGCGCATGGACCGCGACAACATCATCGAGATCCACCAGTACTTGAGTACGCTCAAGAGCGATGACCAGCGTGCGGCGCCGCTCAAGATGTTTCAAAGCTTCATGCACAAGGAAACCGGCACGGACGTCATCTCTGGCATGAAGTCCAAGCAGATGACGCACTTTGGACGACCCGACTGGGACGCCATCTTCCGTGATCTGCGCCGCAAGCACAAGGGCGAGGAGGTTGGCGTCTTCTTCTGCGGCCCCCACGCGCTCGACAAGGTCCTCGGCGACATGTGCCACAAATACTCGAGCGAGCCCGAGACCGGCGGCACGTACTTCGACTACCACTCGGAAAAGTTTGCCTAGAATTTCTTATCCTGTACTCTAATCTTATTGCGGCCATCCTTGGCGCACCTTTCGTACATTGGACGTGTGTTGCGAGCGACCTCTGGCCTCCTGGTGGTCCTTCTTGATGCGCTGAAGATGCTGCCGTGTTGGTGGGCTTGATTCTCGTAGCCAAATCCTCTTACCAGTCTTCAGAGTGCTCGAGGGTTGTGTTTGCAGTCGTCCCCTAATCCCTAATTGCCATCGTCACGAAAGAAGTGCAACAAGCGGCGCCCGCTACGTTGCTTGTGGAGCACGGGCGATCGACCCGCTCTGGTCCTTGGCGAGATCGCCGATGTATCATGCAAGCGCTGTGAAGGAACAGAGGCATCGCCCCGCTGGAGCGCTGCGCTGGACCTTTTCTTCGCCGCGGACGTCGCGGCCAGTTGATGGTCGACGAGGCCGTGGCAACCGTAGCGAGCGCTGCTCCCGTCGCTGCTGCGATGCGTTCCTGCGCGTCGCACGCGCCATCGTTCAGTGGGCAGCGTGTGCGACACAGTACACGGCGAGGTCGTGACTCAACCTCGTGCCCACCTTGCCGTTTCCGTCAACACGCCTGTCTCGGCACTTTATCAAAGCTGTCTCAATCATAGAAAACATCAAAAGCGAGCCAGAGACACGGGAATGCCTGGTCGACGGCCTCGTTCGCTGCGACGTGCGCCGGTCGGATGACTGGGCGCGTGGACTAGCGTCGTCGTCGACGTCGTTGTTCAAGCAGGCCGCGACCACGGCGAGAAAGGCGACTATTTCTGATTTCAGCCAATGGTCTTGCACCATGCACGCGATAATTGACCAATGGGCGCGATGCGGAACACCGGCGTCCTTCATAACGTAATCGTGCTGATGTCTTGCATGGCGGACGAGCTCGAGAGTACTACGATGGAGGCGCTTCTCGCGCCGCCGGCCGACGAGAGCCAGCCGCGGAAGCGCAAGTACGTCAACCACCAGAAGCTCGAGCTCGACTACCTCCGCAAGAAGGTCGAGGAGATGGAGAAGCAGATGGCGATCCTCGGCTCGATGCAGACCGAGACCGTCCTCGCCGGCGCGCAGTGGCAGGACATGGCCAAGGAGCAGCAGCTCCAGATGCAGCTCGCGATCATGGAGAATGCTCGGCTCAAGGCTGCGCTTCAAGACGAGCTCGCGTTCGCCGAGACGCTCGCCGGCATCGTTCAGAAGCGGCCCAAAGTACTGCAGCTGCCGACGACGAAGGACAGCAACTGGCAAGAGTTCAAGCTCGTGGCCGACGCGACCGAGCGTGCGACTGCGTTCACCGCGATCGCCGACCGCGAGTACAACAAGGTCCTCAACCTGTACCTCCAGCGGCAGCTGCAGGAAACCCACACCGTCAAGTCGACAACCGTCAAGTACCTCGACGACGGCGTGCGTCCCGGGATCGTCATCGAGAGCTTCAACCGCCTCGCGTTCGCACATGTTCCCTTCCGCATGCTCGGCCACGCGATCTGGAGCTTCCTCAACGCCGACCACGTCAACGACGCGGCGAGTGGCAGCGACAGCTTTGAGGTCATCCTGCATCATGGCGCGTGCCGTTGCTGACATGGAAGTAGAACCTCGGGTCACCCGAAGACAACATGGTGTACATGAAGAGTCGGTGGCAGATCAGCCCTGGCACGGTCGCCGAGTCCCGCCTCGTCATCAAGCGCTTCATCGAAGAGACGCGGGAGATTGTGGTGTGGCGCAACATCATCGAAGACGCGCTCCTGCCGTTCGACCCGCTTGCGATCACTTTCAACGGCTCGGGATGGTACGACGGCCACGATATAAGGACGCTTTGGCTTACTATTGCCTTGTCGTAGGGCGATCGTCGAGCAAACGGCGGACGGCGGCTCGACGCTGCAGTTTTTCACCGAGATCTCGACGCCGCTGACGCAGACGCCGCCTTTGCTTGCGAGCCCGTCGCCGGACGAGCTCCTCCTCGAGAGCGTCTTGCCGCACGAGCCCGCGCTGAGTGCGTCGATGCTTGCGGTGCCCCGCATGGAGACCGACGTCGGCGACAACTACCAAGTCGGCGCGTTCACCGACTCGATTCTCTCTGCGTACCGCAACGCGTACCGGCGCTTTGAAGCTGCGTCCATGCGCCTCCTCTCCAACATGCAGCACGAAGACCTGCTCCTGAGCAGCCTCGACCAGTTTGTCGAGCTCGTCGACTTTCACCAAAAGCCGCCGAGCGCGAGCTAGAGATTGCTGTGTTGAATATATACTGTGTGCTAGCCAATGTACGGGCCAATGGGGCGGGCGCTAACAAGCTCCATGTCGACGCCGCTGAGGCACAGCCAGCGCTCGGACGCATCGCTCAGACGGAGGCAGTGCTGGTCCAATGTCGGGTTGTACGCGACGACCGAGCCTTCGAGCGGCGGCTCCCGCGGCGGCTGCGACCGGAACATCATCGTCGCCGAGTGCGACGCGCCTTGGGCTTGATGGATGCGCAGGCGGGCGTTCGCGACGAGGTCTATGGTCCGCTCTAATGGGGAAGCACCGCAGGACGACGTACCGTCGCCCCAGCACACGTGTCGTCCCTTGTAGTAGAACCGGACGCGGCCGACCGCGACGTGGCCATCAACGTCATTGTCGTCGTCGTCGGGGTCGGGCGCTGGGTAGAAGAGGCCCTTGCCATGCATTTCGTCAGCGAGAAAGCTGCCCTCCCAGCTCGTCTTGTCGTCCCAGTAGTAGCGTCCCTTGCCGTGATGGAGCCCATGCCGCCAGTCGCCTAAGCAGGTATGAGCACTTGGAGAGAATCGGAATCCGACCCGTGTACTTGGGCGCGCTGTGGTGCTGGAGGCGGTCTTTTGTCAAGTCGCGCACGAGCATCGTACCCTACTTGACGCCTGTAGCGACCGAGTCGTACTCTCGGACGACGTACAGTGCCATGGGGCACCATGACGCCATCGCGCACAAGCACTTGGCCTTCGTACTTGTCGCCTGGCGCTGCCATGAGCTTCAACTGCCAACACTGTCGAGTCGTCGTACCGTTGGCGTACCGAATGGCCTTGATCGACGAGCGGAAGGCTGCGTCCTTGGCGACGTCGGCCGCGAGCGCGTCGCGCTTGGCCGCTGCCTCCAGCTGCTGCCGAACGCGCGCAGTCGTCTCGAGAATATACCTATCGTTATCTAGCCTCGAAGCCCTCGACGGTCCAGAGACCTACGCCTTCTTGGCGGCGGCGAACGCGGACCGCTCGGCTTCAAAGCGCGTCTGGAGCTCGTCCCGGTCGAGGAAGAGGGCGAAGGACGCGATCGCTTTGGCCGCGTCGCCCCGACCGACGAGAAGCGCGCCGGCCGCTTGCAGCCGCGTGCAGCCCGGGACGCGGTCCTGTACCTTGTGCAGCTCGCGCTAGGTCGCTCCAAGTAGGATGCTTCAGAAGACGACGACGATATCGTACGTGCTTGTACGGGTACTCGGGCCACGCCAGGTCGACGTCGTCCTTGTAGAGCTCTCGGAAGGGATCGAAGGGGAACTCGAGCGCTGGGTCGACCATGCTCGCGTACATGGCTGAAACCGTGCAGGTTTAGTTAGTTGTTGCCCGTTGCCACCGACTAAACACCAAAAAAGCCAGAATAAATTGCATCAAAAAGCGACCTTTGTGTTACGATCAAGTGAATGACTAGAGGGGTGTTCACATGGCGAGGACCGTGGCGAGGATGAGGGCGACCGAGATGGCGCCATGGAGGGCGCTGGCGCCGCTGCCCGTGGCGCCACCGTCCGTGGTGCCGCCGCCGTTAGGGCCCGAGCCCGGCGTGCAGCCCGCGACCGCGATCGCGCAGGTCGGGCCCGAGTAGCACGCTCGGCAGACGCACTTGCCATTCGTGCACGCGCCGAACTTGCAGTCGCCCTTGGTCACGCACGAGAAGCCGCCAGATGTCACGTTCTCGGCGCGGTTGCAAATGAGCTTCTGCGTCGGGATGCCCGCGGCTGCGGCCGGCACCGGCACGTCGCACGTCCCGCCCTGGTTGTTGCAGATCATGCCTTCGCGCGTCACGGTCGTCCACGTGTCGGTCGAGATGACCTTGATCTTGTCGCACGTCGGCTGGATCCAGCCCGACGCGGCACGCGCATTGCTCGTGTCGACGCTCGTCGCGAGCGTGGGCACCCAGCCGCACTTGTCGTCCGACTTCCACGCCGCCTTGGTGAAGCCCGCGGTCGGGTTGGCCTTGAACTGCGAGAGGAGGTTGGCGTACGACGGCGTCGCGGTCGTGCCGGGCTTGCCCGAGATGGACACGTCGCCGCCGGTGAAGAGGGGGAAGTTGGAGCCCTTGGGCAACGACGCTTCGCCAAACGAGTAGGCAAAGCCGCCCGAGTAGACATCCGTAAAGCCATTCGACGTCTTGGAGTCGTCAAAGAGGTACGGGATCATGTCAAACTTGCGCGGGTTGATGAGGTCGCAGCCGTACTCGCCGAGCGCCATGACGATCGGGACCCCTTTCGCGAGGTTGAGGAGGCGCTGGTACGAGTTGCCAAAGTTGTTGCTGTTGCACCAGCGGTACTCGTTGATGAGGTAAATGTCGATACTCTGCTGCATGACACCTTCAATCATCTTGTCGCCGCAGAGAAGACCTTGGATCTTGATGACCGCGTACTCATCCGCGGCCGGCGAGACCGCTGGCTTCTCCGTGTCGTCCTGAAGGCCCGAGTACGAGCTGTCGGCGGCCGCATATGCGAGCGGAAGCACGCGCATGTTGGTCGACTTGGCGCGCATCCAGTTCTTGACGTCGGCAATGTACTGCTTGACGCACGCCGCGGGGCGCAGCGAGCTTTGCATGACCTCGTTGGCCATAATCATGCCCAGCGTGTTGTTGTACTGCGAGAAGGCGAGCGCGATGCGCTTGCCATAGTTGAGCAAGTACGACGGGTAGCACGACATGGGCATGGTGTCGGCCGCGAGGTTCTTTGTGATCGTCGAGTACATGTACGAGCCAAAGTAGTCGACGTTCGAGGGCGACGCGGCCACCATGACGTAGATGCCCTCGGCCTCCATATCCGCCATAAAGTCCTTGTAGCTCTTCTCCGGGTTGACGTTGTAGATGCGCAGCGTGTTGAGCGTCCCGTTAAAGTCGGTCACCGCGCGCGCGATCGCGGCCTTGGACTTGGTCGCGTAGTTGTCGTCGCTCACGTCGTACTCGTACGTCATGCCACGCATGAAGAAGCGGTCGCCCGTCTCCGAGTTGTACATGTAGTTGCCGCGCACGATGATGGGCGCGAGCGCGGACGCGAGGTTCACGGCGAGCGCCGGCAGCAGCACGAGGAGCGTCGCGATGCGCATGGTACTCCGATGTCGAAGTGCAAACTGAAAATGCCATTTCTTATTGGCCTTTCTATTGGCTACTGTTCTATCGGAAGCCTTTATTTTATTCCTTGCTACTCGCTTAAATACAAACACCAAGCTATTTTTAATGTGGGCGGAATAAAATGCAATACCCAGCACCAGGACGTGACTTACACGGCGTATCCGTAGGATACACTTTTGCGCCAATCAAACGCCGAGGCGACCAGATGTACCTTCCCGCGACAAGCGGCCGCAGCTCCTGCCGCGCAGAGCATGGTGGCCGTCCTGCAGAGAAGTCGCTGGAAGAAGGCCCAGCGGCCTTGACTGGGCCCAGCCTTGACTTTGTATAACGATATACAGAGCACAAGCGAATGACAGGTGCGATTGAAGGTAGAGAGAGCGTACGTAGGACTCATCGGACATGGACATGCGGTCGTATGACTTCGACGGACGAAATGTGTGTGTGAAAATGGGCAGAAACGCCAAGCGGAGCGTTGGAATAGAGCCAATCGCTCTCCAGACGACCATTGCGTGTAGCATGTGATGCAGCGCTGCGGAGGCGAGCGCCACGCACGCCATGTCATTGGACTGGAAGAAAGTATACTGTCCCCCCGCCTGGCCGACGAGAGGTCGGAATGGACGGCGCTGGCGACTTGGAAATTGAAAATTGTGCCGAGGTCGCAGACTCAAGCGTCGCAAAACTTGTCCATGGATGCTCGGCATGGCGTAATCGTCAGTCCTGACGAGGAAGCTGCCAGCTAGCTGCAGTGACCAGTGCGCCGCTGGGCTCAGCACCAGTTGGAGGGCCGATCCGGAGTGCCATCTGCATCTTGACAAGACCGGCGGGCACACGTGTGAATCTACAGTCATCACATTAGTGGTGCACTCGGGATACTGTAGATCGTATTGGATGGCAGCCTTGGACGATCTCTCGGGCTGCGTGCAGATCGCTCATCATGCACATTGATACGATGCGGGCGCAGCTTTGACTGCCCTCCTGATCGCAACGGGTCAGGCTCCACTTGCACTGTCGTGTGCCACCAACGCCAACCCTAGCCCGCCCTAACCCGCGCAGGACAGGCGTCGGTGGTCGACGCGATGGGCTACAAACTATTAAGGGTATATAAGCATCTCGAATATGCCCTTGCTACTCCACAGACGGTGTCTGCTCTGACGGCCACATACTACACTAGTGTTATTTTTTGGTCGCGTTGAAGAGGACGGTCGAGAGGCTGGTCGTAATGGCTTTTCCGAACGATGCGGTCGAGAAGCTTCTCCCTTTGCTACGTACACCAAGGTATCGATGACCACACGTATATTCTATAGCACGTTGAGCAAGAGGCGGCTGTACCTTGGCGAGTTGGACGATGGCGACGTGGCGATCATGTGGTTCGAAATGCGGTGCGTGAGCCACGACGCCCACTTCTGGAACGGTAGGTCGGACGCGAGCACTTGTTGAAACCAGATCTCAAACATCTTGCGCGACGACGTGTCGAGGTAGTACTCTTCCGCGTGCATCTCGAGCACGATGCCGAGCGCGGTCAGGTTGAAGAAATTCTGGAGCCGGTCAAACGACGCCGCCTCGAGCATTGCTTCGTGCGACGACGTGTACACGGGCGAGAGCTGGTTGGACATGACCTGCTCAAAGACGCTGAGCTCCTTCTCGAGGCGCGCGCACTTTTGCAGCATCGACTGCATGAGATTGGCCTTGGACTCGAACTCGGTCGAGCTCGCTTCGACCTCGAGCGTCAAGTCCTACGTCGTAACGATGTTGGAGTGCTTGGCGTCGTACACGCTTACATTGATCTTTTGGTGCAGCTGACTCTCGACTTGGTCGCTACAAGATGAAATGCAATCAGTTCTGATTGCAGGTACAGCGAGTCGAGGATGTACCGAGCGTCCAAGAGCTGCTGCAGCCACTTGATCTTGGTGTTGGCAGCATGGAGCTGGTCGTTCATGTCGCGCCGATAGTCTTGCAGCGCCTCGGCCGAGTCGCTTCCGAGCTTGGCGTGGACACGCAGCTGCTCGTGCGCTTCCCGTGTCTCGGCGCGCGCGCTCGAGAGCTGGGCGCGGAGGCGGTCGTTCTCGACGATGAGCGCCGCGAGGTCCTGCTCGGTCGCTTCGAGCGTCGAAACAGTGGCCGCCAGCTGCGCGGTGACTTGATCGTCGACGAACGAGGCCGTGGTCGGCGCTGGCTCGAACGACGACGCTGACACTGCTTCGTCCAGCTCAATGTATTTTCTACATACAGCAGTGTCGGCTTGAAAGATCGCGATGGCGTCGAAGAGCGTACTGCTTCCAACTGTCGCGCTCGCTTTGGACGCCGAGCAAGTGGCGCTGGAGTGCGCGCAGCTCGCCTTGGAGCTCATTGGCGCTTGTGTCGTGCTCCACATGCAGCCTAGAACAGGCGAACATGACGCGCGACGAGTCGACAGTTGATGGCTACCGCGAGATGGTCGCTTGAAGCTCGTCGTTCGCGTGTAGCAGTTGCATGCCATACTCGGCCGCCTGCTGGAGCTCCTAGCCACTGCAATGTCAGCGTCGTCGTTGGCATCAACCGACCTTTTCGCTGGCCGAGAGCTGGCGCTCGAGCACGACGACGCGCGGCTGGCGCTTCGCCTCGGCGATCGTTCCGTCGTCGCTGCGCCGCCTGCGTTAGCCGCCATACCATGCACGCGCTCAGTGGGCATACCTGACGTAGAGGTCGACGTCGCCCGCGATCTCACACTCGTCGGCGTCGAGCTCAGCTTGGTTGCTTGGCATCTCACTCTCTTGCCGATGACGACGCTCGGATGATGCAAGAGACGATAGGCTCGTTATCCGGATGATTTCGGTAAGATCGGGGTGTTCTCTGGGGAACGGATCTGACCATGATCACAACCGCCGCCCGGCCTTGGACCCTCGCCGGGCATGGGCCCTCGCATGCTCGAGAGAGCTTCGTCATGGCCTCACCCATGGGTCGCCCGACCCTGATGCGCCCTACGCGGCCCGCTACGACGGCTACAGGCAGCGCCGTGCCCAAGTAGCCAGAGAACATGCTGCACGGACCTCTGCTCCAGTAAAGTAGCAGACCTGGAGCAGCCCATATAGCCTCTGAGTAGCAGCCGATATAGAAGTCACCCATGATGCCAACGCTGCGAGCTTCCTTGGGCTGTGCCCACAGCTCGGCTATGTCCAGTACTCCCGAGCCCGCCAATGGTGCGAGCGTTCCATAGGACTGTCAACTTGCTCGTGTTTCAAGTCGTAGGCACTTAGCACTCCGTGCTGTGCGTGCTCTCGGAGGACTCTCGGTCGTCGTCGTCGCGCTTGTCGTCGGGCACCGCCGTGTCTTCAGGCTTGGAAACACTCGCGATGATGCAGGCGAGCGCAGCTTGGACGGCCTTGGCGACGGCATGCGACGATACGACGGGCACGACCGCGGGCTTGGCGTCGTTCGCGTAGATGCTCTGGTCGCGCGTGACGAGCCAGCCGTAGACCGACTGCCGGTTGCCACACGTGTCGAGCGGATACCGTCGCAGTGTCACGTCGTGAAGACCAAACGCTTTCGTGCGCGGCGGGTGCGGCAGCGGCGTCTCGGTCGTGCAGAGGTCCGCGATCGTCATGTGCGGCACGATAGGACGGTAGTTGTGCAGAATGAACGCCCGAAGGTCGGCGTCGACGTCGACCGCTTCCAGCGGCTTGGCCACCATTTGCCAGTCGTACTATATGTCGACTTGTACACACAGCTCGTAGCTTGGCGACGAGTACCTGCAGGTTGGCGAGGGTCGCCGATTCGAAGACAATGTGCTTGCGCAAACTCGTCGAAAGCTGTGTGCTACGCTGCTCCGAGATGGTCTAATGCAAAATACAGAGGTAAGTGCAAACTCGGAAAGGCCAGTGCCAAGAACCTGGTAGTCGTTCAGGATCGACTGCGTTGACCGGTACAAGGCAACACGTGCATCTTCGAAACCAGCATACGCTTGTCGACACTCGAAGCGGGCGGCTTCGGCGCTCTGTACAGACAAAACATGTGAGAAATGCTTGCGAGCAAGATGGATCTATGTAACGAGGATGATGGAAACGTAGTTACCTCGACCGCGCGGGCAGCGGCGACCGCGAGGCTCTCTTTCTTTTGGTGCTCGTTGGGCAGCAGCCAGCTCACGAGCTTGACGCTATCGATGCTTGCGTTGCGCGAGGCTATCGTGGTCGTCGGTCGCCGCTTGGGGAAGAGTTCGCCGAGAAACGAAGTGCTGTCTTCTAGTGCATTGTTGCTGCTGCTGCTCTCGTTGCCCACCTGCTCTTGGATGACACGCGGCGCGATGCCAGCTTCGAGAGCTTGCGCATACGTCATTGTCGCCTCCTTGAACGTCTTGTCCATCTTTGCGTGCTGCTTGCGAAAGTTCTCTTCCAGCGCCTTGGCCTGCTTGCGGACGCGGGCCATGCACGAGGTGGTCGACTGTTCCTTCTTGGCGAGGCTCTGGTAGAGCGCGTTCAATGGGCGGTAGACGTCCTCGTCCAAGCTTGCAGCGAGGCTCTTGTGCTGCACGCTCGCGTTGACGTACTGGCTCTTGACGCTCAATAAGGCTGCGTTGAGCGAGCTCACGTACGACGAAGGGTGCAGATCGGCCATGTCTTGGTCGACCTTGAACTGGTCGGCGAGCCGCGTGAGCTCGGCGGCGTAGTGCAATTCGAGCTGCACGCGGCCCTTGAGGAGACTCAGTAGCCCTTGGTGCGTCGAGAGGCCGCTGCCACACGCCTTGCGCACTGCGTCGAGGTTGAAGAGGAGGTCTGTCGCAAAGCTAAGACCAGGCACCGTCGTCGCCACCGGGTCCATCTCGATTGCTGCTGTCCGTTATGTAACACCCGCTTCGGTTGCTTCGATCACCGTTTCCAACTAGCGAATGGCAGTACGTCGATCACTGACCTCTGACCTCGCAGTCTAACCAGCAGCTTGTCTACAGAGCTCGCTCACTGTGGAGCAGCCTGTCGCGCTGGTGATCGCTATCCCACCAGATTGATCCACTGTGCGCGAAAAGCGTGCTGCATGGTCTCGTTGCAGTCTAGTCGGACAGCGAGATGTGCCCGATACGTGGCGAGGTTGTTCTGGAGGCAACGCGACTGGTCAGTCTATCGTCTTGGCTGTAGCGACTACGTCTCTGGACCATCGCGCTGAGCGACGGATGGAGCGAAGCGTTGACTGCTGTCGCTGCAGTCGTTGATACCGCTGGGGGTGGCGAGGGCTTGGTTCACGGAGCAAAGTTCCATGCCATTGGACCTTCCAACCTCAATATGGCGATATAGGTGGTTTGCACGACTCTGCTGCATACGGTACTACTGTAGCGCTACTCGGATTCCTCGACGGCCTCGAGCAAGTTTTCGGCTCTCAAATGCTTTATGCTGACGGAGGAGAAGCTAAACCAAGGCCTTGGAGACCCCAGCTACAAACTTTCCGGTTTCGTGTTGCCAGTCTATCCGTAACCGTCAAGGGTATCCGGACCAGCAGAGATTCGCTCAATCGCTTCACAGATCCACGCTCAGCGCAATGCTGTGTGTTTGTTTGGTCGAGTCCCGAGGCGCCGCACGCACTGCGATGGTGCACGGTCGTGGCAAGTCCTCGCGGTGCTATGGCGCACACTATTTACGTTTTAGCGGAGTACCTTGAAACAGATGATCGCAAGTGCTACGCTGCTGTGATGGGAGCAAGGCCAACGTCAGCGCCACCCAGAGCGCCACCCATGCCACATCATCATGCACGCGCCTCGCCTGGTCCTTCACACCGCTGCGGTGGCCATTTCTCTACTAAATTCGTACGATCGTGGCGCGTGGCATAAAATAGTGTACGTTTTTCGTGCGACACGACGCGGCTTCGGCTGCTCGGCTTGTCTTGATGTTTGTATGCCACAGAAATCGCGTGGATTCTAACACGAGCTGCTGGATTCCTGTGGCAGAGAGTTGAGACCGCACGGCTAGTACCGTACTGCTCGATCTAGTATACTATAGGTCTAGTCGCTCGACACGACTCCCGTCGACGAGCCGGACACCGAACAATACACGGGTCAGTCGATGTTCCAAGCTTCGTTACCTCGCAGACTAGATACGATATGCATTCTGAAAGGTTCTTGGCACGACACCGAGGCGGCGCAATACAATACCGTATTTTAATCTCGCCGTCGCAAAATTACTTTGAGATTGTATGGGAGAAATGGCGGCTGCAAAAAAACACACGTCATTTTATTCGGCGTCGCAGATCACTGGCCCATACTATGGGCGAGGCTCGCGGTATTAAAATCGTTTGAAGCGCGAATAAAACGTCGCGTGTTTTTTTCAAATTTGGCAGCTGTCCACGGTCCGTGGTGGAATAAAAATTCGCACGCATTTAATAAAATGCGGCGCGTATTTTTTTTACCGGATCCCGAAGAACCCGCACCAAGTTTTACTCGGGCATTTCGAACTGGAAAAGCGGACCTGCCGCGCTCCCGCTGCGCCGACGTCGACGAGCTTCCTGCCCCGTACCGCCTACTCCCGCCACCACCGCCATCACCATCATGGACGACGCGCGCCCCGTCGAGACCTCGCCGCGTGGCATCTACGTCCGGGTACGTCCCATGCGTAGGCGAGGAAGATGGAGCTCATGACGCGCTGTAGTTTGATACCAAGCTTGGCACGGGCGCGTACAAGACCGTCTACAAGGGCTACGACACGGACCAGGGCATTGACGTGGCCTGGAACGCGATCGACATTGGCGCGCTCCCGCATGGCGAGAAGGCACGGATCATTCAAGAGGTCGAGCTGCTCAAGAAGCTCGAGCACAAGAACATCATCAACTTTTACGGCTCGTGGTACTCGAAAGAGAAGAACCAAGTGGTGTTTATCACGGAGATCATGACGGCCGGGACGCTCAAGTCGTACATCAAGCGCGTCCGGTTTGTCAAATGGAAGATCATGAAGCGATGGTGTCACCAGATACTAGAAGGTCTCTCGTACCTGCATAGCCAGTCGCCCCCGGTCATCCACCGGGACCTCAAATGCGACAACATCTTCATCAATGGCAACACGGGCGATTTGCGCATCGGCGACCTTGGCCTCTCGACGCAGATGGCGGTCGACAAGCTCCGCGCGCAGTCGGTGCTGGGCACGCCCGAGTTCATGGCGCCCGAGCTCTACGACGAAAACTACGACGAGAAGGTCGATATTTATGCGTTTGGCATGTGCGTGCTCGAGATGATCACGCAAGAAGTCCCGTACGCCGAGTGCACGAACCCCGCGCAGATCTACAAGAAGGTCATGGCCGGCGTCCGGCCGCGCGCGCTCGGCCGCATCAAGTCGCCCGCTGCCCGCGACTTTATCGAGCTCTGCCTCTCGCGCGGCAACGGCGCGGTCGACGTGACGGCTGCATACCTCGCTGCCCACCCGTTTCTGCAGCCCATGGCCGACGACGACGCCGTGCCCGAATGTAGGCCAATGCGCATGTCTCTACGATTGTATCTCATTACCAAGACGCATAGGTGTCGACGAGCAGGACGCTCTGTCGCCGCGCCACACTGCGTACACGGTCGTCGACGACTGGGACCTCGATGGCGCAAAAGCCAACTCGAAGCGCCGACTCTCGTGCCCGGTGCTGCCGCAAAAAGCGTCAAACGACGATCACGACGAGTCGAAGCACCCGTCGCTCGTGTTCAAGTACCGGACTACGATCGACACGCCGCTCTCGTCCGGCGTCGACGCGATGGACGACCACGCAGAGACGATCCTCAAGGGCATGCAAGGCGCGGAGAAGAACCTCGATGCGCGCAAGCAGGTCATGGACGGCCGCAACAACCTCCTCCCGAATGAAAAGAAGCTGCAGCCGCTGCCGGAGCGGCCGCCCCTCTCGGTGCCCCTCGCGTCGCCCGAGGCGTCGCCGCCGCCAGCGCCATCGTCCGCGCCAACACCCCTCGTGCTCGGGCAGTCGCCGCCGCCGCCGCAGACCTTTCTTGGTCTTCGGGGGTCGTCGGGTGACTTTGCGTCGTGGCCAGCGACATCGTCGTCGTCATCGCTGGCGGCGAGTCCTAGCAAGTCGCCCTCGATGCGCAAGCGCGGCCGGCGGCACGAGATCAAAGCGACAAAGGACCTTGAGAACGACCACAGCATCTGCCTCAGTCTGCGCATCATCCTCGACGGCAAGTCGAAGGAGATCAAGTTTACGTTCAACCTCTTTATCGACTCGGCCTTTGAAGTTGCTTGCGAGCTCGCGGCCGGCGTCGGCATTCTGGAGCCGGACATTGGGGACATTGCCGACTCGATCAGCTTCCTCTCGACCGAAGCCAAGATGGCGAACCTCCCCGAGGTCGATGTGGACGTGTGGGAAGAAGCGCCAGAGCCGCACTCGTTCTCGGCCAAACCGCTGCCGCATGTCTCCAAGATGAACCTCGTCGCGCACTCGACCGAGTATGTGCTGGTCGAGAATGGCTCGTCCTTTGTGTCGATGACGTCGTCGTCGGCGTCGTCGTCGCAGAACCCCGTGTCGCTCTCGGGCGACCAAGCGCTCAACGTCGAGGACTGGACGCGGTCCGAGACAGAGACCAACTATGAGCACGCGATCCGCGCCGAGCAGGAGAAGCACGAGAAGGAACTCGAGCTCTTTCGAAAGAAGATGGACGACCTCAAGATGAAGGAGCTCGCGCAGCAGCAAAAGCAGCTCAAGCGAGACCCATAGCATATAGGAGGATCGTGTTAGACTCGTAAGCATGTAGTGGTGTGTACGCTACAGACGACTACCAAGACCGCTGGTTGGCGTTGTTGGTCGGCGGCCGCATCATCGGGTTGCCGCCGTTGTTGGGCGGCTGTTGCATGCCCTGCCACTGGAGGTTGTTGAAGCCATTGGCGCCCATGGGCGGGCCACCTTGCGCCGGCCGCGGCCCGCCGCCCATCATGGGGTTCATGTTCATGTTGCTGATGTTCATGCTGCTGTTCATGGCCGGTCGGGGCGGGCCCATCGGGAAGCCACCGGCGCCGCCGCCCGGTGGCATGTACGGCGCGTTCTGGAATCCCGGCTGCGCGCCGTGGGGCGTCGGTGGCCGCATCGGTGGCGCGGCGCCGCCCGCAAAGAGGTTGAAGGGATCGACGGGCGCCTTGGGCTAGATTCAGACGTATGAGAATGGGACGGAGCTCCACGTCGGTCGTACCTGGTTGATGGGACTTGTGACGCGCGGTGACGCGGTTGGCGTCGACATGAGCCCGACAAGGTCGTCGTTGAAGACCTTGGCATTGGCATCCTTGGCTACTCATGCCATGCGCGTCGTACATGCCTGTGGTCGCCAGATCCAGTGCGTCGTACCAGCCGACGGCGTCGAGGTCTCAATGAGGTCGGGTACTGCCGGTGGGGCCTCGACCTTGGGCGGAGGAGGCACGGCGGCGGCCTTGACGGGCGCGGGCGCCGGCGGCGCAACCTCTGCCTTGTCCAGAACGCGGGCCACCTTGGAGATGACGACGCCATTGTACTCGGGTACCGGGTCGTTGTCGGCAATGTCGAGCCACACTACGCGATGCATTGTACTCCTTTGGCATACCATAGAGTCGACGAAGCGTACCATACGTGCCCTCGAACGCTTGCTTGAAGCGAAAGTGGAAGCTGCCCGGCAGCGGGAAGGCCTACATGTCGACGTCATCGCCAGGAGGGTGGGCGCGTGCGCCGTACCTTCTTGATGTGGGCGAGCTTGAGGCCGGCCTTGAGCGGGAGCGGGAAGACGTTGAGGTGGTCGGGCGAGTCGCCGTCGTCCGGGATGTAGTAGTTGAACATGCCCTCCATCTTGAGCTTCGTCGCCACAGAAATGGATCTGCGAAACCCACGCCGGCTATCGTCACTTGGTTGTTGTATGGATTTTTATTCCGACGGAATTATAATGTTGGCCTTCCTCGTTTCACGCTTCCAGCGACAAGCAGTCGTCGCTCGTCGCCGAGCACCTTGGCAGACAGGGACAACTAGCAGCACTGCGACCTCCGCAGTAGCAACGCAGTAGCAACTTGCAGCGCATCGGCCGTGGCGGACGAGCGACGACTGCATCTCGCCTGGGCGAAAGAAGACATATCCCTGCGCCCGCGCTAGAAACAGCCTACGCGTACCGCTCTAGAAGGCTAGAAGGCGCCGCGTGTAGCGCTCGCGATCGCTCTGCAGACGCTGGAGGCGACGGAGCCTACTGCCGCTGGATTGCGATCCGGCTGTTTGGACTCCTGTGGCCGATGCTTCGCCGGGCATGGCTGTCGCTAGCCCATGCGCCTTGACCTCCGCTGCAGGTCATGTGCATCGCCATGGCCTCGGCAGGGCCTCGGCGTCGACCGTGCGGCGGATGCGCCGGTCCTACGCCGTGTCGCCAGCAGCGCTTGGCTGATTCCGTCGGGTTGTCGTGCAATAATAAAATAATAAAAAGAAGCCGTCGAAATTCCGGATACAATCCGACTGATACCCGATAGCATTTCCATTTTACAACGCACAACTCGTATCATGGCGGCCCTCGTCCCGCTTGTGACCGACGACGGCAATGGGAGCTGGCAGCTGCATGAGGATGCGACGCTCCTCCTCGAGAGCGAGAAGCGCGCGCTGCAGAAGATCTCGGTCGTCGGCCTCATTGACGCCCTCCCGCCCAAGCATGCCAGGGCGCCCGGCTTGCACATGGTCAAGGACCCGATCAAGGTCGAAGACGACGGGACGCTTACGTTCCTCGTCGTGCTCCAGCACCCGGCGCTCCACGAGCAGCCGGCATGGACCTCGCTCCTCTTCCTCCTTGCGTCGCATGTGTTGTACGTTCGCGACGGCGCCATTGCGCGGGACGGCTTTGCCAACTGGAGCTTTCTGCAGCATCTTCTCAACGTCGACGTCGTTTCGCCCGACGAGCAGGCCGCGCATCCTGACCTCAACACGACCGTGCTCAAGCGCCTCTTGCCAAAGCTCACGCTCATTGCGGTTGACCTCGACAAGAAGGAGTGCGGCGGCGACGCGTTCCCTCTCTACCTCGAGAAGGCGCTATCGACGCCCAAGGCGTCGCACGATGGCCTCTCGCAGGCGCTCATCAGCCAGCTCTTTACGAGCCGCGACTGCATCGGCATCAAGACGAGCACGTTCAAGGTCCCCGGCGCCCCGCACTCGGCGGCTAAGGTGCTCAGCGTCGCGACCGACCCGCTCCCGCCCAAGACGTTTTTTGGGCGGTTCCTCTCCTGCGGTGTGTTTGTGCATCTGCTGAGCGCGCTTGTCGCGGCCAAGGACGCAGCGCGCTGGGACTTCCGGGCTGTCGCGTTCAGCGTCTCGCGCACGTACTGGCAAAACTTGCTCGACGCAGCGATCACCATGTACGCCGACCACATGCACGCCAAGCTGTTGCCATACGACGACGTGGAGCTCGACAATAGCATGGTGGTGGCGCTCACCGAGGCCAAGCTCCACGGCGGCGACGCCGGCCTCGACAATGACGACGTGATCCTCATCGACCGCAGCACCAACAGCGCCGGCGTCACCTTTGACGAGTATGGCAACCTCAAGAAGAGCCACTCGAGTGGCGCCAAGCCGACGCTTGACGTCGGGATCCTCGCGTTCCTCAAGACGGCCAAGTCGACGCTCAACCGGCAAATGACCATGGTCGCTCCCAAGCCCACGGTGGCCAACCCATGGTGCGACCCGTACCTTCTCAACATGCGCGAGTATGAGGTGCCGACCAAGTACATTCACCAGTTTCCCAAGCGCGAGAAGCTCCCGATCGAAGCCAGTGCGCTCACTGGTGTCCACCACGAGTGCCTCTCATCCGCGTCGGCGCTCTTGCATCCGTTCATGGCGCTCTCGCTGCCGCGCGAAGACGCTTGCTTTAGCGGCCCATGGAGCTTCCGCGTCGGTCGGCGCCACCTCGACGACGCGGCGGGCGCTGTCCATCGGGACATTGCGCTTGCCAACAACGCGAGCTCGGCAGCGTTCTGCACGCGGCTCGTCCAGTGCCTCCACACGGCGGTGCTGCTCAAGACGCACGCAGACGAGGACAAGAGCCGGCTGGTCCGCCACCTCATTGCGTACCGCAGCAACATTGAGGCGCTCATCTCGCAGTACAACTTTGTCGCCAAAGGCCCGGCAGCGTCGGCCGTCCTCGCCGGCTTCCTCTCGTCAGTCGTGCGGCACCGCCTCCATGCAGCGGTCGCGGCGGCCGACGCCCACTTTGAGGCGACGCGCGTCGCGCTGACGACCCAAGTGCACGACGCCTCGCGCCACCTCTTGGCGCTGGAGGACGCGATCCGCGACGCCGAAGAGACGCGCAAGGCGTGCCTGCGCAACGAGATGGCGCAAGACGCTCTCGTCGAGAGCCGGAAGCTCGAGCAGCTCGGGACGATCCAGGGCGCGATCGCCGAGACCCAAGCGCAGATCAACACGGCGCTGCGTGAGAAGGAAGCGCTCTTCGCCAACACGGTGCAGACGACGCAAGCGACGGTCGCGACCGTCGAGATCATTGCGAAGAAGCCCAAGGAGTATGCGGGCTACCTCTTTCGCCAGGAGGGCGGCGGCTTCTTCGGGGCCAAGTGGAAGCAGTCGTTCTTTGTGCTCAAAGACGGCCGGTTCGTGACCTTCAAGGCCAAGAGCTACTACGAGGAAGGCCGCGAGAGCATGGAAGCGCCGCTCAATGTCGCGGGCTACACGGTGCTGCAGTCGAACAAGAATGCCAACGAATTCAAGCTCGCGCCGCCCGTCGCCGGCCGCACGTTTGTGTTCCGCGCGCCGACGGACGAGATGCGCGAGACGTGGGTTCACAAGTTCAACGAAGCGTCCAACTACTCGTAGGCAACTACTACTCTTCGTCCCAGTCGCTGGCCGCGGTCGCAGCGCCAAAGTTGACCTAAACGCTGTATGTGAGTCAAGACTACAGATATATATCGTCGAGTACCTCCTTGTTGTATACGTACTCCGCGTCGCCGGGCTTGCAGAGGTGCTCGTGGAAGACCGAGTCCATCTTGGCCTTGACCGCCGCCAGCTGCGACTCGGAGACCTTGTTGTAGTCGGCGGCGGGCAGCGCGACCTTGGTCGACGACAAGACGCGCTCGATCAGCCGTCGAAGCTGCGCCGGCGCGACCTGTGCAAAGTACGCGCGATGCTCGTTTGTGATCGCCAAAGCAATCTCGCCTGCGTCCTACGCGACGTTGCAGGTACGATGGAGGTGCACGAGGACGTACGCTGCTGCTGGCGACGTAACGCACCAGAGGCACTTCGTGGTGGTACAGGGCGCCGTCGCTCGCGGTGTACTCGAGCGTCAGCAGTGGCGGCGAGACGCGGAGGCCGACCCGGCGGGGCTCCATGCTAGGCGAGGAAGATCCGATTCAAAGAAACCGCCACGTCATGAGATTCCATGGGTACAGTCGCATGCATTGCGAGGAGCTGGCTCGGTCGAGATGCAACGGATCGCTGGCAGCAGGAAGGACGTCACCGACGGCTAGCGGAGGGCTCCGCTCCTCGACGTGGCCTGTGTGCACCCGGACGACGATGGGGTTTGGTGCTGCGAGTGCCCAATCGCCATGACGGCTAGTGGCGCTATGAAGGCCAAGGTGCTGCTTCCTGCCAGCTCGTCGAGCGCTGCGTCACCGCGGCCATGGCATGGCGAGGAATCCTCGGGCTTCGTCGAGCGTCGTGCTGGATCGGCGGCTGCCGCGATGCCATTGGTGCAACGGCAATTACATGGCGCAAGTGAAATAGCTTGGCTTTTGTATGGCAAAAAACAGCAATGGATTAAAATAGAACCACAGATTCAAGATGCTGCTCGGGAAGCTGCGGCCGGCGCTGCGGACGATGGTCACGACGACCAAGAAGCGGCTCCAGCGGTCGGAGCCCCATCTGCGCGTGCGCCTCGTGCCCATGTTCGACGACAACTACGGCTACCTTGTTATTGACGAGGCCAATCAGCATGTATTGGCCGTGGACCCGGCCCAAGCCGACGTGATGGCGCCCGTGCTCGCCGAAGAGCTCGCGATCAACAACCGCGAGATGCTCGCCGTGCTCACGACGCACGGCCACCCGTATGTTTTCCAATGCTGCTGCTTGCGTGCGCTAACCGATTCGCTGGATTAGGGACCATTGCGGTGGCAACGAAACCTTTGCTGCCAAATACCCGGGCATCACGATCTCAGGCCCGCACAACGAGGTGATTCCGGCCATGACGACACCGCTGCAAGGTGGCGAAGAGTTCAAGCTCGGCGCCATGGACATCCAGGCGCTCGCGGTGCCATGCCACACGAAGGGCCACCTCGCGTACGTCATTTCCGGCGACCCCGAGACGCCGCCGTTGCTGTTTCCCGGCGACACGCTCTTTGTGGGCGGCTGCGGTACGTCGTTGCGAGCGAGAGACAACGAGGACGACCATGGTGTAGGCAAGTTCTTCGAGGGCACGGCCGAAGACATGTACCACGCGCTCTACGAAGTCATCTTGCAGTTGCCAAAGGAGACCAAGGTCTACTGCGGCCACGAGTACACCATGTCCAATCTGCGCTTTGCGCTGAGCGTCGACCCGACGAACGCCATTCTGCGCGAAAAAATTGCGTGGGCCAAGCTCCGTCGGTCCAAGAACCTGCCCACGATCCCGTCTACGCTCAAGGAAGAGATGCTCTTCAACCCGTTCTTGCGCGTCCACGACGAAGTCATTCGCAACGCCGTCGGTGGCAACGATCCGATCACCGTGCTCTCAAACCTTCGCCGCAAAAAGGACAGCTTCATCTAGCCCCACCACCGTGTAAACACCAGCCAATATACCGAGGAGAGATTATACTCTTGTCACCGACAAATACATCGTGTTATGAACATTATGGCGCGTTATACCATACACAACAGAGGACCAAAGACCACTTAGGGCGTCGACGTCTTGGTCTCGGCATCCTTGGCCTCCGGCGCCGCCGTCTCGGCCGCCTCGAGCTTCTTGGCCGCGTGCTTGGCGTGCGCCTTGTGGAAGGGCGTCTCGGCCCAGAGAGCCTCAAAGCCCGCCTTGTCGATGCCGTCCGAGAGCAGCGTCACGTGCTCGCCCTTGTCGTTCTTGTCCTGCTTGGACCACTTGGTGATGAGGCGCTTCCCATCGACCTCGCGCTCGTGCACCGCCTTGAGACGGCCGTCCGAGTCTTCGTAGCGGCGGCGGACGCTCGACACGCGGCGGCCCTTGTCGTCAATCGCCGACGCGCTCGAAAACGAATAGTTGGAGCACGCGCGCGTGCGTAGCGCGTCCGTGTCACCGGCGAGGATCGCGGCCGCGGGGTCGGCGCCCGTCGGCAAGTCGGCGAAGAACGCGTCGTCGCTCGGTGGCATCGAGAGCATGATGGAGCTGCGCAGTGGGAGCATGGCGCTCGCGACCTCGGCCAGCTCCAAGTCCATGAGCGACTGCTCGAGGTTCATGTGCGGGTACCAGTTGCGCGGGCGGACAATGTCCCACGGCGCCAGCGTCGACAAGGGCG